TCGAATTGCTATATGGTGGGTGGAGTTTCAAGAATTTAATTTTATGGTAGAGTACACACTTTGTAAAAGAATGAAACATATCGACGTCTTAAGTCGCAACCTTTGTGATTCACATACCTGTGAGAAAGTAATGCGTATAGAACAAGCTGACTGGGTTTTGTCAGGGCATTTAACAAATACCAAGATATCCGCCATTAAGAATATACTTCTGTAGCCTTCTGAAACCGAACACGAAGTTTATAAAAATTATTGTTTACGTGACGAACGGATCTATCGAATTACGGCACGTGGTTTACAATGGGCAGTCCCAAAGGGAATGCGTCACCAAATGCCCAAGTAGCTCATGACGAGTTTGAGCTGAACCTATGAATATATTACACATCGATCATCTGAGTCCGTTTCCGAAAAGTAAACATTCTAATTTATATTTAATAGTTGGCATTGATGGTTTTATTAATTTTTGATTTCTAAAACAAGTAAAGGCTACAAAAACAAAACATGTTATAGTTTACCTTAAAGATATTTGTTCGACCTATGGCGTTTCCAAGACTAATCATAGATCGAGGAAATTGTTTTACATCCAAAGTTTCCTAAAATGTCTGTCAACAAAATAATATTAAGCATGTTCTTAATGCTGTCGCTACTCCACGTGCTAATGGACAGGTCGAACGTTTAAACCGAACAATCCTTGACGTTCTCCTTGCCTCAACATCCGAATAAGGGCTTTGGGACGAAAAGGTAAGAGATATTTAATTTGGTCTCAATACTGTCGTTAATAAACCGACTGGCAAAACACCAAGCCAATTACTATTGTCTTAGTCCCCAAAAGGTAGTACTGAAGGCACTGACAGCATCTTAACTGATGATATTAAGCAGATACCATTAGTCATTGAAAACCTAATCGAAGCAAGACGCGAGGCAGCTGAAAATTTTATAGTCGCACAAAATAAACAAAATTAGCCTTAAGCTATTTTAAAGCCTTAAGCTATGAGATTAGCCTTAAGCTATGAGAAACCGATTAAAGAACCAGCAAAAAAAAACCGATTAAAGAATCAGCAAGCAACAGGTATTAATCGAAAATTGACATCTCCATATGATGGTTCAATGGTTATACAAGTAGTACTACTGAATGAAGATATGTAGTAGCAGACATGTCAGGGTCGTATAACTCGTAGGGTAACCTACGAGAATGTGTTCGCAGTGGGTCGAATGTGTTCTTGGGTTCCAGTTGGTGGAGGTTTCTCTGGCGAATCCGATGAAGCTAGTGATGAAGAAGGGTTGGTTTTGTTAGATCCAGATGAAGCTGCTACTAGCCAACTCGAGACGAGTTGATAGCAGGATGGCCGAATGTAAGACCCTGTATATTTTACCTCATAATATTCAGATATATTTTAAACGCCGTAACAAAATCACACCAATTTTGTCAAGCGAGGCTTCAAAGCTTATCGCTCCAGATTGTTTAGACTACGTAAGGGCAAGCGGCGATAATATAAACAGAACGCTGGTCACGGCACTTAAAAAAATATATCTTAAGGCTCATAGTTTTTTTATGAAAGACGTACACAATATCGGAGAGGTTCAGTTTAATATTTAGGTTGGCATTTAGTTGCTTTTGAATCTTTTAAAGAAGTGGAGTGTCGCTAAACGTTAATTTAAATACGAGCTAAATAATTAATTTAAATAGTTATAAAATTGTGACAGTGTTGAGGCAGTGTTAAAGATCCATTAAAGGGTGAGTTGATTCACTGAGTATGCATTCTCTACATGTTCTGTTTTAATTTTATAATTGATTTATTTAAGAGTTATTAGTTTAAAGAGTTATCTTCTTTATAATGATTTGTTTGTATCTGTAACTGAAACAGACCTTTGCATTTGGTGTCATTGCCACGTCTCAGTACAGGGTAAATATATTATTTTTAAGTTATTATTTGGGTGGCAAGGGTTCACCAGTTGTTTAGAGAGCTAGTGGCAAGGGTTCACTAGGCTGGTGGCAAGGGTTCACCAGTTGTTTAGAGAGCTAGTGGCAAGGGTTCACTAGGCTGGTGGCAAGGGTTCACCAGTTGTTTAGAGAGCTAGTGGCAGGGTTCACTAGGCTGGTGGCAAGGGTTCACCAGTTGTTTAGAGAGCTAGTGGCAAGGGTTCACTAGGCTGGTGGCAAGGGTTCACCAGTTGTTTAGAGAGCTAGTGGCAAGGGTTCACTAGGCTAGTGGCAAGGGTTCACCAGTTGTTTAGAGAGGGCATTTCGCGTTTAGTGCCGTAATATGTTTTGGACATTTGTGAAGGGTGTTTTGCGTTTAATACCCGTTGTAACATTTGAACTGTGATATTTTACCTTAATAATAAATATCAGGAATTTTGTAGGACCGGCATACTCACAAAGATTTTTTTTCAGGCAACTCTATGTCATGAACCATCCTGAACAAGAACCTGCCTTACCCATAGCCGTTCGAATTAAAGTTTGGTTTCTTTTAAGTTTTTGTTTATTTATTAATGATTATTTTATATTTTTTTACATTTATTAAATTCGATTAAAATTTAATATGCTCAGGCTTTTTGGTACCATAATTATTAAATTAAACGAACTAAAAAGTCTTAACCATAACCCCAAAAAATGCAGATCTCCTGCCAACTTTCTTTATTTTTTATTTATTCCTCATTTTCCTAGTGACGTCACAGGTGGTATGCGCGAACTGAACGAAATTGGAGCCGCTATCGATCATACCTTGTATTCTTTGTACCATGGTTGTATCCTATGTTATAGGGTTTGTTTCTCTCTACAATTTCCTGTTTCACAATGTACCGTTTGTGTCGGGGAAGGGGTCATAGTTTTATAGTTCTGTTGTCGATTTTCGAAAGAAATCATTACATGTGTATTATTTCGTATATTTCTCATTTTATGGAAAGCACTGTTCATTAAAATGTTGTATCCTATGTTATAGGGCTTGTTTCTCTCTACAATTTCCTGTCTCACAGTGTACCGTTTGTATCGGGGAAGGGTTCATAGTTCCATAGTTGTCGATTTTCGAAAGAAATCAGTACATGTATATTATTTCGTATATTTTTCATTTTATTGATTTTATGGAAAGCACTGTTCATTAAAATGTTGTAACATATGTTATAGGGCTTGTTTCTCTCTACAATTTCCTGTCTCACAATGTACCGTTCGTGTCGGGGAAGGGATCATAGTTTCATAATTGTCGATTTTCGAAAGAAATCAGTACATGTATATTATTTCGTATATTTTTCATTTTATTGGTTTTATGGAAAGCACTGTTCATTAAAATGTTGTATCCTGTGTTATAGGGCTTATTTCTCTCTACAATTTCCTGTCTCACAATGTACCGTTTGTGTCCGGGAAGGGATCATAGTTTCATAGTTGTCGATTTTCGAAAGAAATCAGTACCTACATGTATATTATTTCATATATTTTCCATTTTATTGATTTTATGGAAAGCACTGTTTATTAAAATGTTGTATCCTATGTTATAGGGCTTGTTTCTCTCTACAATTTCCTGTTTCACAATGTACCGTTTGTGTCGGGGAAGGGATCATAGTTTATAGTTCTGTTGTCGATTTTCGAAAGAAATCAGTACATGTGTATTATTTCGTATATTTTTCATTTTATGGAAAGCACTGTTCATTAAAATCTTGTATCCTATGTTATAGGGCTTGTTTCTCTCTACAATTTCCTACTGTTTCACAATGTACCGTTTGTGTCCAGGAAGGGTTCATAATTTCGAAAAAGAAATCAATACATGTATATATCGTCAGACAATATCTATGGACAACATCTAGACACTGACAGAAAATACAATTTACCTGTGAGTTAAAATGACAGACTATTCTCACTGTGTGGTATTCTCTTGTTAATCAAACTTTACATACTTAAATAAATTCATAATTTATTTTTCGACAAATTTCAGTTTTGTTCAGATTTCAGAGCCTCACTTCAGCTCACTTGTCCGAAATTAACAATAAACACTACTCGCAAGATGATGTCCGCATTTCGTCTAGCGCCTCCACTGAATATTATCGATTTACCTTTTCCACCGGTATAAAAACACGCAACTGTTCTTCAGATAAATTGAAAAGATTAATATTAGCGCCCTAAAATATTTTTTTAGGGACAAACGTTTCTATTTTCGTTTTATGGCGATCAATTACAGAAAGAGGGCGAAAAAAACTACAAGGATATGTTTCTACTTGCTCAACAGAGTATCGATAACCCCTTGCAACGATGACGAGAAATTGGTTCAAGACGAGTTGAAATTAATGGCTTACCAGAGTTACACAAGGATTCCGGCTCTATCGGCCGGAGGTTTCTTTGATATCAATTTTAGAGTTTTAGGTCTCATGATTAGCAGTATAACTTCGTATTTAATGGTCATTATACAGTTTTTATTGCGACCTAATAATTCGTCTTAGATAATATACATTTATATTAAGTTAATTTAATAAATTATTTTTGTAACTATTTATTAAATGATTATTTCTTTATTACAAAAATTTAATAAAGCGATGAATTATGAAGAAATACTTGAATAGTACCACAAGGATATTAAACGAAAATAATAATAAATTTAAATAAACAATATTTGGCGATATAATTCCGGAAAAAGCCGAACCGCTCCGAAATTTTCAAAAGTTTTGGGTCGCGACCGTTGCAACAATAGCGCCAAATAGTGTTTACATTGTCCTTATGGGCACTTTCCAATCTAAACTTGTTTCATTTATCTATGGATTAAAGTCATTCTTGAAGAAGGTACCTATTATTTTAAAAAAAGTTTAATATCGTTGTAAGTCAAAATTTAGGAACATAATTAATAAATTATTGTATCACCGGTTTTTGATAAGTGTTCAAATATTCAATTTAATGTGATAAAGCGATACATGCATAAAATTGGCAATAAAATTATTCTAAAATATCGTCATCGATCTTCATGTAAATTTTAGATCATACCAGATCATACTGTATTTTCAATATGGCGACACTTCCAGGCATCTTCCAGGTACCAGGGCTGGTATATTTAGTTGCCTAGTTGTAGTTCTGTCAAAAAAGAAAATACGAATGTCATATGTCATGTCATTTGTCATTTTAAAGTTGAAGTTTTCAAACGATAACGTTTTTCGTTGTTTACTTTTATATTTTATTAGTATTTTCAGAGGTATTTTGCATATTTTAGAATAATTCTTATGAATTTATCATTGAAATGCATTGTTTACTAGAATTTTAATACGTCTGCTTAAAGAAATTACCCGAAGATGATTATTTTATCAGTTTTTGAGGATTTAACATGGATTTAACCTCAAATTTTTATTAGCCGTTTAACAATTTTTCATAGAAGCATTTACTAGGAAAACTCTAGGAAAATGCATTCTCCTGAAAACTGGACAGATGACGAAGATTTTGTTGAACATTTTAAAAAAGAACATAACGAGCAGTTCTATGTTCTTGTTAAAATGCATTTATCTTTTTTACTTCATATGCCTACCGAAGAGTATGTATTTATTGAATTTTAGTGTTTAACGTAAGAGACAAATTATTTTCATGTTGTAGATCTGATGTAATCAATGAAAAACATAAATTAAAAAAATGGAATGTTGTACCGTTTGGAAAGAAATCTAGAAATAGAAATATAACTGAAGGGACGTTTGTTTCTAACGATTTGCTTAATCAAGTTTATCAATTAATACATTTTATTAAAGGAGAAGAAAGTAAGTTTTTTTTGTCATATTAAGGAATGTTATTTATTTTATATAATTTTAGAATTAAAGACTGTGGGTATATTTCGGCGTACTGGTTCAGTTGAACGTCAAAACGAATTAAAAAATTTATTACAGCAAGGATGCACTATTAATTTTGACGAGAATAATTATACAGTTCATGACTGTGCATCAGTATTGAAAGGCCTGTTAGCTGAATTACCAGAGCCTTTAACAAACGATACCCAGTTTCCAATTTATTGTCAAATTATGGAATCTTATGATTTGAGTGATATTATTCACCAATTTAAAGTACTGCAGTGCTTGCAACTTCTTTTTCTCTTACTGCCTAAAGAACACAAGGATTTTTTAAGAGATCTATTTGGTTTATTAAATAAAGTAACTCGATATGAGGATGCTAACAAGATGTCTGCTGACAATTTAGCTAAATTGTTCACACCACACTTATTATGTCCTAGAAAATTATCACCTGAAATGTTACTGAAGGAATCTCAGGCTTTATTTGGATTAGTTGCTTTTATGATTAAAAGATATAAAGAGCTTTTTAAAGTGCCTGGACAATTAATGTTAGATTTTCGATTGCATTATGACCAGAAAAATGCACTTAATGAATCTGTAAAAGGAGCAGCACATACAGTATTTACTTTTGTTGATAATAAACTGACAGCCAAAGAGAATGAAGAAAATGTTACGGAGACTGCTTTAGCTCAACTGTACGCTCATATACAAAGTCTACCAGAAAGCTCTAAGAAACGTAAATTAGTCAAACAATTTAATAAAGAAAATGGACAGGTACTTTTCTAGGTCTTATTTTTTTATTTTATTAGTTAGCATGGTTATTTTTAGGGAACGCCTTTACAAGTTCTTAGAAGTTCAGTTCCAAAAAATAAAAGTTTTGGAGATTCAATTAAAAAGCATATGTTTCATAAAAAGCTGATAAAAAATATGAAAAAATCCGGATTTTCGCAGCTTAAAAGTGCAAGCAGTGAAGAAATTTTGAATGTGAGTAGTATTATTATGGATACATAATCTAAAAACCGAGCATATAGTTATTTTGACATACAAGATACACTTACTATTGGCATTTGAAAATCAAAAGTTGTAGTCATTTCCGGTTAAACAGGAAGTAATGAAAAACAATTGAATATGTCAATCAACCCTAATTTATGTCATATACTAACATTTCGTTTTTATCTGAGAAAATAAAAAAGCTATAAGGGTTAGCTACTTTTGAGAAACACTGGATATATTACTTACTAGTGAAAAGTTCTTTTAGTAATTTTCTTATTTTTGGTTTTGAACGATCGCATGCTGTAGAAGTATTACTACTAAGTATTACTCCACACACACGCTACGTCATAACCTTATACTAGAACATACCTCTAGTAAGTGTATCATAATTGTCCAACGCATTTTTTGTTCTTGCTTCAAAAACTGCATGCTTTTGCTTATGTAATTTTGCAAACTGCATTTTTTTTTCTTTAATTCATCTGCATGCTCTATCTTTCCACTCATATACAGAGCCCCCCTTTACAAAGAAAGGCGTCCAGGGGGCGACTCTTTTGCCATAATAACGACAGCAGTTCTGAGACCGAGGACCATGTGAAACCGAAGCGTCTGAAAGAATATCTCGGGGATTCTGCGGAAAGAACTAGAAGTAAAAGCGATTCAGATATCAGCCTGGGTACGTTGGGTCATTATAATAACTTTTTTTTAACTTAAATCATCATTCTATCTATTAACACCATTTGGTTGATGCAAAACCTACAGGGTAGTTTCTATTCTTCATACATATTAAATCTCCTCTGTGTTTATCGTTGACTTGAACATACAAAATGTTATAGAAATTTTAAAAATGATGAATAAACGATAATATTGTGATATTTTTTAAAAAAATAATTAAAATGAAGCGAGTCGTTCATTTTGAACAGGTTTTACGAATCCATATTTAGTTATTTTTGAAAGATAGACCTTATTTCTTTAGTTAAATAAGCAAAAGTTCCTAAATTTTCGCGACATAATATAGTACTTGGTTTACAACGTGCTTTTGTGTTTTTTATATAGAATCTCGTTTAGGATGTTTTTGAATACGGCCTATTCATTAGACCTAGCTAGTAGACTTCGCTAGTATATCTTTGTATTATAGGCTTGGTGCATTCTCCGCCGGTGCTGCCACTGCGGGAATATCGTAAACAACTAGTATATATATACAAATACACGGGTTTAAATAGCGAGTATACGAAAAATTTATTATATTATTATTCTAAAAGTGTTAGGAAGTATAATTTGTAAAAATTCTAAAAATAAAAATAAAAAAGCAAATATTTTGATATCTTTAGAAGGTCTAACTTGTATTTGTTATTCCAGTTAAAAAAAACTTTTTAGATGAGTTCAACTACGGTAGCAAGCATAGTTTTAATCACCAGTTTTGCTAGTGGGGTCATAATTGGGGCTATTTCGGCTATAACGAACCAAATAAACCAAACCAAAAGTTGATTAAAAAAAGTATACCATTAATATTGCAAATTACATTTTATCCTCTCAAGCGGCCCATACATTATCAAACAAATTGCTCAACGAGTTGCAAATGTATGGTCCCGTTTGATGCGTTGCGCAATTGTTTGGTAAGTTTCAAGAATGTTTAGATTGTTTTGTGCAATAGGACTGTTTGAGCAACGCGTTGTGTAGTGTATGTGTGTGGTGCGCTTCGTTGTGCAATATTTTAGTTCATTCGTTCAAATTCTTTATTTTCTTTTTCGTTTTTTGGTATCATCGACATCATCTAGGGTATGTACGATAATAATTGATACAGTGGCAATTGAGGACATGATTGTTTCTCGAACAATGGACAAATTTTAATAAAAAGTTTGATCAAAATTTTACTAAGTGCATGGGTGATGCATTGTGCAACACAACGTTACGCATCGCTTTGTTGCGCACTTTGTTTGATAATGTATGGGCCGCTGAATCAGTTGTGCAACGCAACGGTGCGCATCGCTTTGTTGCGCAATTTGTTTGATAATGTATGGGCCGCTTGCCGCTTCATAGTATGTCTATTTAATTTTTTGATTATATAACGAGTACTTTGTTTACTCACTTGTTTCGTCGAACTGCTTTAAATCCATTTTTGCTTTTGATCAAATCGGCGTGAGAAACTATGAAGCTATAAAATGTTTTGGGAAAATTGAATTACCGAATGTTATTGCACCTAATAACGCCCTAATTACGCTCTTCTTTACGCGTTAACATTTTTTCGGCAACTTTATTAACATTTGAAATTGTCACAATCATGACCAACATGACAGACAGGCCAGAGACATCGATTTGTGATGTCACCGCACTAGTCCGGCTTTTGTATTGTGCCATATGGTACTGCATATAGGTTTTGCATAAATAATAGTATTTATTGATAGTTTTGCCAGATATAAATATGAAAAATATTATACAGAAAGGTATTAAAAAATAACATTAACTTTTTATCACGTTAAAGTAATTGAATAGCATTAAAATTTAGATCTAAAGCACGAATATTAATATGAAATAAAATACAGCATAAGATGAACAAAATAAAATCTAGATAATAAAAAGCGTGTCCTAAAATTGCGTTAGCGGGTATTTAGCAACTAGTAATAATATACCTGTGATAAAAAGTTAGTCCAAATATTAAAAAATTTGAAAACTGTACGTTTATCGATAAGTTAAGAAAATGTATTGTATATGATAACGGCAGAATACATTTTAAAGTTTAATTAAAAATAATTGTAAAAATTTGCCCAACATATTTAAAAAATGTGGATATCAGATAGAATTAACTATTAACATTAAGTAATTTGTAGTTCGATGTTCATCAAGTAACCATCTCCATAAATCGTAAATAAAAAGATAAAGATATCATTTTTTTTTATATAAAATACTGAAATAAAGTACAAATTCATTTAATTTCTTTAAAATATATTGCCATTTCATAATAATAATAATACTTTTCAATATTTATTTCATCCTGAATTTCCAAATCTTGTTTTCTTTCATCGGGACGTTTTCTCTTTATGGGAACATGCACAGAGGGTCCATAAGAGGGTTGATTTGGAAAAATTGTAGGCACAGCATGTTCTGTAGGTTTTGGACGTGACCTAGTTACAGTTAATATTGTTGGGAAAGAGAATGTAGACAGATCCTGAGGACTTATTATAATTGCTGCTACAAGGCACAGGCACAGAACAATGTCGGAGAATTTTTATTTCACAAAGTAAAAATAAAGAAACGAAAACTGTTTTACATAAAAATACACGTCACTTACGTTGGTTTAACACTATACACTAACACTAACGCTATTAATTATGTTTTTATATAAATTCCCCAACTTTTCCCTAGTCCGGACACACAGCCGGCATCGCCGGTGTTACTATAATTTTTACCGAAAGTATGTTTTTTTTCGCGGGTACGATGTTATGAATCGGATCTAGATAGTTCACTATTCACTCAAAATTATTTAGTATAATTTTATTAGCATAGAAACGCGTAAAAAACACAGATTTGTTGCGAAACTAATGAAAACAATTGGTTTGTTTACGACTACTAATTCTGGATCACTTCGGTAGAACTGTCAAAACAGTCAGGCCTTGAATATGACGTTAGCCACGTCACAATACAACACGACCCCTAGTTCGAATTCTTTTTCACCTATTTTTTACTATCCAAAACAGCGTTATATCACACAAACCTCGTACCTGAGTGTTTTATAGTCTCAATAACTGCACTAGCAAAAAACTAAAATACTTAAATATTATGACAAGGCCACGATTTGAATATTATTTTAATGCGATCAACATGAACTGTAACCTGGACGTCGTGAAATACATAGTGAAAATTTCTGATTTCTGCCGCATATAGCGCCGCGGTCAGAATTTTTTGAAATCAACTGAAATGCACCAAGCCTATAGTGTAATACGAACATATTTTGAAATACAAACAATATCTATATGAAAAATTATTTGATTAAAAGTGAGGAGAGTATCCGTCCTGTACTTTGACTAACGTTTTCCTGTCTGTAAAAACACTGTTGTACCTAATCAGGTGACGTTCCTGGGATCTCTGGTCCATATTTAACTAGCACCCCAGCATGTAGGCCACCCTTACTAAGCTACAGGAATGATGTCTTTACGCCGGAAAATGAAAATAGAAGGAGTATGTCGCCCATAACCAGGTCGGCTCAGAGAATGCCCAGAGCTATGCAGGTGAGCATAAAAATAACAGAAATTTTCTGCTTATTTGGGTTACGCTTCTGTTTCTGTTGCATTTTGTTGCGATATTGGCTCTTTTTATTTGCTTCTATTTTTAAAATGAAATTTATGTTGAAGATGATGTTTCTAGGCAACCATATTTATAGATATACATATTCCTTTTAATATTGATGTATATCAATTTTGATCTTGAACTAAATATTCAAATAATTGTCTTTGTTTTTTCTACAAGTAATAAAGGCATTAGATTATACAGGGTTTTTCACCACATACGACAGGTAGTATTGTAGCTAAACGATTAGATTATTACAAATTGTAAGTTTTAGGTTCGTTGAAGGCCTATTAGAGCTACAATTTTATACTACAAAATATTTTTACAAGATATAGAGAGTCCCAAATAAATAAAAAATATCAAAGTTGTATTTTTTTAACTGAAACACCCTGTATATTATTACATTTTTAGTTTTTACGATTAAAATAAAGGTAAATTTGATTATGGTTTACCGTATTTTAATCTTACCGTTTTTTAAATATTTACGTTTTTGTCAAAATAGACTAACAATTTTAATGCTTCGTTTCTCTAGTATTTCAGTTTTTAAAACCATGTATTGTACAGGGTGGGTCAAATTCGACGCTTTTAAATGGAAACACCTTTTTCTATAGGAGATAGACAAAACCTAATATCGGTGTCCGGAGCTCAATTTTTGTCAAAACACGATGGTGAAAACCGCACATCGATATCTGTTACCGTTTCGGAGTTACGGGGTGTTTTTCAAAACTATGCATTTTTAACAAATCGCTGTAACTTTTTTGCTATGGAAAATTTTGTATTTTTATGAAAACATTTCCGAAGCACCTTTTTACGTAGAATTTAATGGTTTAACTATAATTTTTTTAAAATTAATAATTTAAGAATTATCAACAGAAAATTTGATTTTTTATATGGGTCACCCTGTATATTTTTAATTAACTGAAAAGAATTTAAAATTACCTTTCGAAAAATATAGCACACTTGATATTTTGTTATAATCCCCTTCGAAATACAGAATTTTTAAAAGTTCGCCACTTTTAACTAGTAGGCTTTGGACCCCTCATTGATATGCCCTTAATGGAACTCGCAAACATATTTTCCAGCAAGACGACGTACCGCCTCTGAACGCTGAAGTTATCAGCAAATTTCTGCAGCCAATTTCAAGAATAATTGCATAGCTGACCAAGAACCCAGCCGTTGGCCGTCGAGGCCGCCTGACTTAGTGCCTATGGATCTAATCCTATGGATATATTTGCGGAAGAATAAAGATTCCTTATTCTTCTGTATAATCTAGACAAGAATTAGCAATTATACTTAGCAGTTATGAGAGGGTATCTTTCACCCCCACTGAATTAATGAATTCCGCGAGAAATGTTCAAAAACTGCCCCGTCTGTCCATAACAGAAGACGGTCGATATGTCGAACACCTGTAGCATGTCCTGGTTTGCTATTTATTTTTATTGTTATTAGATATAGTTTAAATGTGTTGATGTTGGTTAAATATATTTTAAATTGTTATAAAATTCTGCATCTCTTATAGCAAATATTATTTTCGTTTTAATTGATGCTCACAGCTAGAATTTTTTTGCATTACAGCCGGTGCCGTTCAAAGCCTACTTATTTAAAGCGGACGAATTTTTATATACTCTATATCTCGAAGAGGAATCGAGCAAAATATCAAGTGTGTTATATTTTTGGAAAGGTAATTTTAAATTCTTTTCAATAAATTAAAAATATACAGGGTGCCCCATATAAAAAATCAATTTTTCTGTTGATAACTCTTAAATTATTAATTTTAAAAAGATTATACTAAAACAATTAAATTCTACGTAAAAGGGTGCTTTGGAAATATTTTCATAGAAATACAAAATTTTCCATAGCAAAAAAGTTACAGCGATTTGTTAAAAATGCACATTTTTGAAAAACACCCCGTAACTCCGAAACGGTAACAGATATTGATGTGCGGTTTTCACCATCATGTTTTTTATGAAAATTGAGCTCCAGACACCGATATTAGTTTTCGTCTATCTCCTATCGAAAAGGGTGTTTCCATTTAAAAGCGTCGAATTTGACCCACCCTGTACTGAAGTTTTTCTATTTACGAAATTTTGTGTTGCCATAATAAAAATTATACTACCTTATACATAGTGTCTAAAAATTTATTTTAAATAATTACTAGCTTTAAACGGCAATAACTTGTTAAATTTAAATAGAACACCCTGTATATTTATGAGAATCAGATGCACAATTTAATTGTCTATCAAATTGTATTATACCATTTTTTACCTATCTCTTCAAGTTTTCGTAGAAAATGCATTTTCTTATAATTTAGACCTCATTTATCAATATACCCATGGAATATTGACATTTTAGATTATTTTTAAAGATGTAACAAATTTTCAAAGAGTACATATACTAATATTGTCGATATAATTGGCAATTTTATAAAAAAAACAAAAACTGTTTAACTATTTGTTAAAGAGGACCATTTAATATGATCCCAGTATTCAAACTAGGTACATTAATTGACATTTTGCGTTGACTAATAATAATTGCTCCAAATACTAAAAAACTGAATTTTGTATTTGTATTAGACAGTATAGTAAAAAGTGACACCTTATAAACAAAGACTTCGCCACATTTTGGTGCCCAAATGTGGTACAAAAGAACCCTTTTATTTTCTAAATATTTTTCGCTCACTTATTCTGTTCTAACAAAAAGCTCATCAATCAAACAGCAATTAGACGAATGCCCTGTAAATTGATATACCTTGAGGCTATTTCCAAAACAAATGAGATTATAAATTTTTCTCTATTAACTCATCCTGGACAAAACAGAACTTTTCTTTAGTTTGAAACATTAAAATAAAACGCCTTTAATATTTTTTCTTGTATTTACGATTTTGTTTTTACTTTATTGTAATATTTTATGTTTGTATCAGGAAACAATGATGACTCCTAGAAGTAGAAAACCCGTCCTTTTGGTATCAGGAACCAATATTAATAACTTGGCCAAGATGTCTCCAAATCTACAACCTGAAGTTATGGAAGGCACTGGAACAATATGCAACACCCCTCTTGTCCTAGAAAAGGGGTTAAAACGACCTCTAGAACGATCAGTTGCATCAACTTCTTTTGATGTTACACAAAGCCAAGATGGATTTGTTGATACGATACCAGACAATACAAGAAAACAATTTACCAAATCTAAAAGTGATGGCGATTTGAGCTTGAATCGCGAAATTTCCAAAGTGCCAAAGATGAACAAAACTGACAGTCCCAAGTCTTTAACTACAACTTTTAAAAGGTACCTGACCAGTAGAAATATTGAAGCTGATGACTCGCTGTCGGATTCGAGCTTCTCGAGTCGTTCAGATGATTTCCAGTCTTACACAGAACTGCACACTGATCCCAGTAATAGTTATAAGGAAAATGTTAGTGCCGTTAATAGTGGTAATCAAGAATATTACAATGAAAATATTAGTGATTCTTTATTGTATATTCTTGACGGAAACTATCCTGATGATGTCGGCGAAGGTGGAAAAGAATTAGTGCTGAAACCGAGACAGTTTGATAAGGATGGAAAACCTACTGTATTTGAGACATCATTTTAAAGACATTGACCAAACTAGTATGTGATTTATAGAAATAATAAATACATTCTGTTTTTTGGTAATTTATTGAAACAAATATATTTTAATTTTGTGGTGCTGTCATTGATGTGATTTTATCATCTATTTTTTTGTTTGTTCAACCATATTGTGTGTTCTTGATTAAAAATAAATCAAGATTTATGTTATAACAGAATATATCTTGTAAATTAGTGTCAGTATTTTGGATATTTTAGAAGAGCAGAAATATTAAATTATTGAATTTTTTATATCTTTATAGATAAATATAAAATATAAGCACTAAAATAGTTTTAATCATCTACATACTCCACGAAGATACATTTCCATGGTCTTTTACCATAACTCCTTGTTTGTTTAAATTGTCCCTAACACTATCACACAATTTTAAAAGTTCTACATTTTTATTTTCTAATCCTATTAGTCTTATATTTTGTCTAAATTTCACTAATAGTTCTATTACATCTGTTGAATGTGTTTCATTTGCTGTCTGAATATCACCCTTAAAATCTATGCCAAATAAACTTAATGTAGAGCATACTATATTCTTGAAAGCTAAAAGCAAATGAAAATTTTTGTCCAAATACACTTGAGACTTATCACTAACATGTATCATGGTGTTAATTTTCGTCACATTTTGACTAAGCAATTGCACAACTCTTGGAGTATTAAAATTATCACATAATGCTTTGTCAATTTCACAAATAGAGTGTGCTATTACATTGTTTAAAATTGTATTGTCTAAAGAAACTTTAATAAGTCCTTTCTCTATTTCATCACACATGTTTATGAAGTTCTTGAATATCTTTAGTAAATTAGCTGCTGTATCTAATAATTCATCACTATACTCTATCGGTTGACTGTAGTGAGACGTGGCACATAAAAAGCGAAAAACATCACTAGTTCTGTCTTCCAAAGCATCCTTAATGGAAATTGTATTTTTTAGGCTTTTGCTCATTTTAACTGAATCTTTTAAATGTAAATGTCCAGTGTGAATCCAGTAATTGACCCACTGATTGTTTCCATGGAAGGAACAACTTTGGGCTTCCTCGTTTTCATGGTGTGGGAATCTCAAATCTATCCCTCCAGCATGAACATCAATATTGTTGCCAAAAATCATGGAAGCTAAGGAGGAACATTCTATATGCCAGCCAGGTCTTCCCTGGCCCCAAGGGCTTGGATAAGATGGTTCTGTTTCTGATTTTCTAATTTTCCATAAAGCAAAATCAGCTGGGGCCCTTTTGAACAAATTGCTTTTATCTGGTAATGAATCTGTAATTGTTTGCAATTTGCCATAATGTTTACAGCCTTTTGAAACATCAAAGTACACTGAATTATCTTTTCCTACATAAGCTGTTCCATCAAGTTCTAATTTTTTAATGAAGTCAATAATCAAAGGAATATATTCAGTTACTCGAACGACAATGTCTGGTTTGGATATACCTACAGTTTTTAAGTCTTGCCAAAATTCTTTTTCATATTTTTCAGCAATCTCCTTATAGTGAGTTTTTGTTTCGATAGATTTCTGTATAATTTTATCATCGATATCGGTAATGTTCATACAAGTAACCAAGTTTAAACCAAAGTATGTTTTTAATATCTTTTGGATGATGTCTAATCTAACGTAACAAGCTGCATGTCCAATATGGGAAGAGTCATATACTGTGGGGCCACATGTGTACCAAGTAACAAAATTCTTATTTTTCACTATAAACGGTTCATTTTGTCTTGTTACACAATTATACACTTTAATGGGTGTTCTGTATCCTTCTGGCTGTATCCATGTATGATTGAATCTTTTGTTTAATTTCAATTTGTATAGATTTAACAAACATTTTACATTCTTATTAAACATATTTACAACTAACATCGCACTAACGTAGGAAATTAAAAATCTTGATTATAAACAGATTATAAATAAAACATAAAAATAAAAAAGTACGGTTAGAGTTGGGTTAGAGTTACAATGTTTACATCACATACAGGCAACCAGTAATACAGATTAGTAGTTCAAATGTACTAAATATACTGTATGATAAAAAAACACGGCTTCCAGTTGGCTTGGAAACGACGGTCGAAGGCAGTATCATGGACAGTATCCTATTCAGAGATCCTATCGAAGACCATTCCCCTCTGCGTTCACCACATAATTTTACCTAAATCTAAAATAACAGCTACCTTTATCAGCCTTTATTTCAAAAGTCATCCCTGACGCGTTTTCTATCATATTGTGTTTTAAAGGCTTTTTAAAGGTACAAAAAGCCAATACGCCTATTTTAAAAATATTATTAATATAGAGGTTGACTTATTTAAATACATTATTACACAAGTGTTACACTAAAGATATCTTTTTTTTAATAGTATGGATGTGTTATAAACTTTTCATTACAAAAAATATCCGAAATATATCTTCGATCCTTTTTTTTATATTTCTTACACTTCCCACAAAATTAAAAAAAGTATGGATACTTTTAAACTGAAAATATTTTAATATCATCAAAACTTGATCAAAACTATTGTATTGTATACCAGGGTTGGCATGATTTAAATCAAGTGATTTTTTTAATTTTAATCATGTAATTTAAATAAAAAAAAATAATTTTATCGAAACTTTATTATAAATCAAAAAATTAGTGCCGGGAGGCACGTATAGCCGCCTATACTAAAATATGTTAATAAAAAGTTGGTAGGCAGTTCTTTTAGTTTCAAAGTAAAGGAATTTTTCCAATTTTTTTTATCTCAAAAACTGCGACTTTGACTGATTTTGATGTTATTACAAATTTTGTTGCAAATATTATTCCTAATCTTAAATTGAAAACCGCGTTTCGCTAGCTACTGTAATTTTGGAGTTACGATATTTTACAATTTTTAACCCCCTACCCATATATTGAGACTTGTTTAATTAATTTTAAATTATTAAGATCTATACAATGTTCTTTATCAACAATATGTTCGGCAACGCAAGATTTATCCGGTCTACCATATCTTATCTGAGCTTTGTATACGAACATTGTATAGATCTTAATAATTTAAAATTAATTAAACAAGTCTCAAATTACAGGCAATTAGATGCATATGAAAGCATCAGCATTAATAAATGTAAAGATAGTATGAACAGAGACAACGGTCCAATTCATTCAAGTTCTTTGTTCCTACTACTCTAGTGGCGGAAATTTAACTGTTAGGCTCGGTGGGCTCTGACTCGGTTGACTAGATCTTGCCACGCCCACTCGGTGCCCACTGAGCGAGTATATAAACGCTCAACTTGTAGATTGTATTTTAGTTTATAATCATCCGCTGATGATGCTAACATGGTTAGCGAAACGCGCGTCCAGTGTAAAAGTAAAAGTGTTTTGGTGTATTGTGGTGATTTAGTGTTTTCATTTTGCTGTGTAACACCAAAGGTTCCAACCCTCAACTGTAATTTTCTATAACAGATAATAAATCCAAAAATAATTGTAAATGTTATAAATCGATATAAAAATATCTATATTCGTCCATTTAAATGTTGGACCGATTTTTGTAGTAATTTCGTGTGAATCCATTAGACCGCTAAACGCCAGGGATTTATTTTAAAATTTATGTATAAGTGACAAACAGTCACTGTTCGAATACATATTATTCACAGTGTAGTGTAGAACTAGGTTCTTCTGATATAGAGATTATATCTTCATTCCCGAGAAATTATAATTGTTGTCAGAAAATATGTTGTTTTATATATTTTTTTTGAAACGGTTGTATGTTTCCAAATTCCTACCGACATTTTGATAAGCAGTAAGTTCTTTACACTTTGACATTAGATAATACTAATTTCATTCTCGAATTAAGACTATTTCCGAATAGTGTATTGTTTTATTAGGAGTAAAAATTATACATTTTTTGACGATGCTGTACCTTCGAAGAACCATCGTAAAGCTATTCCGACGTTACAGGGAGGCACAAAAAGTACATTTTTACTCCGAATAGAACATACTCTTTTCTTAAAACGTTACAAATAATTTTTTAATCAATTTGAAACATTGCTAATAATATAAACAGTAATCGAGCAACAATTTGTATACTCGTTGAATTTGACACTTAATATTTTTTTGTACTTTTGTGCTTAGGCGTAACAGTGCTTTACTTTTATGTCTAGGCGTTAAAATTACAAAAATTAATACTTTTGAGACGTTTGAAAAAAAATCCTTTTGATCTGAAGCGAGCGACTTTTTATGTGGAATATATTAGCGATCGATGTGGAAAAATGACACGCACCGTAGAATTGTTAATGTTATCGGTATTGGGCAGAGTTATAATGGTTTAGCCATTTAGGATAGGACTTTAATTGGAAATAAGTTCTAATCATCTGATTTAAATATTGTTTTGAATTAAAATCAAAAAAATCTGATTTTTTGATTTTTTAAAAAAATCATAATTTTTTCCAACCCTGTTGTATACCATTTGAAAATGGCGTTATTACAAAATGATTTGAATAAGTAGATATTTTTGAGATGGAAATTTATATACTGTTGCGAGCCGGTGTGGACTCGACCTAACCTCACAATATGGCTCGCCCTCGTATGACCTTAACATCGCATAGACACCGCAATGATTCATTCGTTCGAGAAGAATCGAGTCCCACTGGAATGGACGAGTACATACGAGAACATTCGAAAACCTTCTCTACGCACCTAACGATCTATGGACAATTCTAGAGTTCTTTACCTGTTGGTATAAAAGCCGGCGGCGGTGCATTACATGCACAAGATTTAATCAGTATTACAATACCTTTTCAGACCAATATATAAATGTTTCTTATAGTTAGATACTATGTTAAGGAACATTCTGGATCATAAGTTTTTTGCTTATTTTTTTCTATTAAAAAAAAACAGAGGAAAAGTTAATATTATTTCATCAATAAATACATTTTGCAGTCAAGTTATATGTATTTAAATTAAATATATTTTGTTTACTTATATCTAAAATAATTTTAATTAACGGAAATTGGAAGATGTGTGAAAACCTATATAGACACATCTACAGGGTGTCCCACTTAAGATGGATACAAGCCAATATCTTGATTGTTTGTTGAGCGATCTTTTTCATTTTTGGCAGGAGGCTGTATGGCTATGAGACGTACATTTTGCCCAGGGTAAGAAATGTCATACCTCATAGACGTACGTTTTAATGGGGTTTGATATTTTTCGAGTCAAGAGTAAACTACCCTTAGGACAGTATTTATTTCAAATCTGATAAATTATATTGAATCCTCCTTACCCAAGATACTTAAGTTCTAATTTTGATAAATATTGATACCGGGTGTGTTATTAAAATAAGACATTTTTATTTTTATTATTATTTTTTTAAGTACATACTTACGACGCGACGCCACTGGATAAACAACTGGTTTATTATCAATAACCAATTATCAATTAATAATCGATTTAAGTTTTCAGATAGCTTCCATAATAATGAAGATACGATACAAAAAACTAAATATTTTCAATTTATTTTGTTTACTTTAAAAAATTGTTTTTTAAGTTTGCTAATACAAATGAATAAAATGAGTTACAAAATAATTTAAAAACCCAGTTTTCAATGGAATCTGAAATATGATTTTTATTCGTTTTGAGGAATATTTAAAAAAATCCAAATAGTTATTTAAAACAATCACTATTAACTTTGGAAAATATGCTCTAAACAAAGATTTATAAAACTATAACGAACTAAAAGTCATCATCTTCGACCAAACTTAAATGGATTATTAATTGATAATTGGATATAATTGGTTGGATATAATTGGTTATTGATAATAAACCAGTTGTTTATCCAGTGGCGTCGTAAGTACTTAAAAAAATAATAATAAAAATAAAAATGTCTTATTTTAATGACACACCCTGTATCAATATTTATAAAAATTAGAACTTAAGTATCTTAGGTAAGGAGGATTCAATATAATTTATCAGATTTGAAATAAATACTGTCCTAACGGTAGTTTACTTTTGACTCGAAAAATATCAAACCCCATTAAAACGTACGTCTATGAGGTAATAATAAAAATAAAAATGTCTTATTTGAATGACACACCCTGTATCAATATCTATAAAAATTAGAACTTAAGTATCTTAGGTAAGGAGGATTCAATATAATTTATCAGATTTGAAATAAATACTGTCCTAAGAGTAGTTTACTTTTTTACTCGAAAAATATCAAACCCCATTAAAACGTACGTCTATGAGGTATCGCATTTCTTACCCTGGGCAAAATGTACGTCTTATAGCTATACAGCCTCCTGCCAAAAATGAAAAAGATCGCTCAACAAACAACCAAGATATTGGCTTGTATCCATCTTAAGTGGGATACCCTGTATATATATGAAAATGGTATATAGTAAACTATTAAGTATGTATAACTTAAAATCCTATGTTAATAAATATTGTATATCAAATGGCAAGAACACAACTAACTGCTGCTAAAACTAATTATGTTATAAATAATTAATATAATGCATTATAAAAATTGATTTCAAAATATATTTTGGACAAGTTTCACTCCATAGTTGATTCTGCATGGAAGTTTTATTTTATTACACCCTTCAGATCTAAATAATTTATTACCCAAATTAAACCAATCTCAGTTGTTAAACTTTTGTTAACACATTTAAAATACCATAGTGTTATTGCACTAAACTTAAAATTAAACATATACAGTCTTTTTATTTAAATAAAGTCTCTAGATACAGTCAAAAATTATTTTAATACATAAAATAGTGTGATTAAAATACAATAAGTAAAAAAAAAATCACAAAGTTGATAAATGTTTTCAAAATATCATTTGGAGAATATAGAATATAAAAATTAAAGTAGGAAAAATAATATGAGTAATATACTGGTATGAGAGATCTATTTGAGGTTATAATGGCACAAAAATTAACTGATATTTGTAAGTCTTTTCTTAAAAAAAAAGTATAATAAAACTGTCAAAAGCTTTGTTCAATTAATAGGTCAAGCCTGTCCAATGAGAAAAGGGACAATGTCAAGAGACAACATCCAATAACTGTCACTGTCATATTGTCTCACTGGAAGTACTCTATAATATACTTATATATTTATTTCATTACTTTTTACTCAAGTGTCCTTTACTGTTATCAGCTAAGAAGAAATGTAAACACCTTAAATTATATCTCAATATTTACAGTAGTTATTTACAAAAAAAATACTTGTTCACTTTTAGTCTTAATTCACCGAACACATATTTTAGACATAATTTTATATAAGGTGATATTTCTTAGGATGCCTAAAGGCACTATTTTTAGGATGCTTTTAACAATAAACTTATTTACATATATGAATATTTACATTTCAGAGGGCAATACTGAAAATAATGGAAGTATGTATACAGGGTGGCGCACCTCATTCACCTCAGTTGATTATACGAAAACGGAAAAATGTAGAAACAAAATATTTTATGGGTATATGTAGGAGGGCAATGTGCATAATTTAAGATTATTTTGAAATGTACAGGGTATGTCAGAACACAAATCCACACCAAAGTTATATTTTTTTTATGAAACACCCGGTATTTTATTTCATGCATGCTATAATAAAAAAGATTGTCAACACCCTGTATGTACATTACTTTTCAGAATTAATTATTGCTGACTTTTAAGCCAGAGAAATAAACTTTACAGAAAAAATTGATTGCTTCGTTTAATATATACAGGGGTATCAAAAATTGCTGGTCTATTTTAAATATTTATTTTACGTTTATAAAATGACAACCAAGAGAGCTCGTGTCGTCATGGCAAGCCAGTGACAATTAGTAGCTATTTTCAAAATCGAAATTAATTTATGGACTTTATTTAAATTTATAGCAGTTTAATTTCATTTAATTTACCTACAATAATTTAGTAAATAATATTTATTAAATATGTATTTATCATTTTATTAAGAAAAGCGAAGAGTAGTTCTTTGATTTATTTTACGATGACTTGTAGATATATGGATTTTCTATAAAAAAGCCAATTACGGCAAATTTATTTTCTTCACTCCCAACGACAGGTTTCTAATAGTTTTTTTTATAAACCACACTACCACCTCTGCAAAATAGGACAAGTAGTTTTTCAAAGGAACGCTTATCAGGAAGCTACTTGAACGCTATTTGAATATCTTTCAGCATAAACCCTTGGGGCTAAGAAGCAATTTTCCTCACAAAATAAAATCACTAGTAACATATCCATTCGTTCCGCCAGCAGATACTGCTTTATCCTTTCTTGATAAAATAATGAATACTGACTTATTAAACTATTATTGCAGGTAAATTTAAATAAACTGCTATCCTTGTTTATAAGGCTGCTATAAATCTAAATAATAAAGTCCATAAACTAATGTCGATTTTAAAAATAGTTACTATGTCGATTTTAAAAATAGGTCACTAGAAAATTGCCATGGCGACATCAGCCATCTTGATTACCATTTTATTTAAAAATTGCTTTTTATTCAATATCTGAGCTAGATGGTATAAGAAACCCTAATATAGTTTGAAAGAGAACTTAAATCTACTTCGATTTATTTTAAAAAATAGCGGGTGTTGCATTTGAAATAACAAAGTGTTTATGTAAAATAAATATTTAAAATATGTCAGCAATTTTTGGTACCCCTGTATAAATTGAAGGAAGCAATAACAATTTTTAGTAAAGTTTATTTCTCTCTAAGAATTAATTCTGAATTTTTTTTTTCGATTTATTACTAATAATAATGTACAGGGTGTTAATAACCTATTCTATTGTACGATGCATATTTAAATATTTTAAAAACCAAAGATTTTAAACATATTTAACCCTTATAACATACGCTTTTTTAGGGCCAAGAATCCAATAATAAAATAAAATACCGGGTGTTCCATAAGAAAAAATATAACTTTAGAATGGATCTTAGTTCTGAAACACCCTGTATATTTCAAAATGTTTTTAAATTGTGCACATTGCCTCCCCACATATACCCATAAAATATTTTGTTTCTACATCTTTCCGTTTTCGTATAATCAACCGAGGCGAATGAGGTGCGCAACCCTGTATATTTCTGCTTTTGACAGTTTGTTTGCCAGTGTTCTCAAATGCTCGAAATAAAAATAATATTAAGATAAAAGTAACAGATCCACAAAGATATGGTTAATTTTTAAACATATTGCTAAAAATTTAGCAAGACTAGATAGTTTATAATGCATATATAGAAAAAATTGAAGCAATAAAAGTTGTATAAAAAATTGTAAAAAGAGATCAATTTAAACAGTTGATTTTTATATTGCAGCGTCATTACAAATGCTTTTTTGTAGTATGGTAAAGACATGAGTAAATTTAACGGTTTAATGGTCGGTTGTTCATTACCTCTCCCTGAATCGGAGCAAATCCTTTGAATCTGTGATTGTTCCTAATGTGTGAATTCAGATTTCCACTTTGAACAAATGCTTTCTCACAAAAATGGCATTTGAAGGGTTTTTCATCAGTATGTAACCTGATATGATTGTTCAGATTTCCCGATTGTGTGAAAGCCCTATCACAGTGCGGACACTTAAATGGCTTTTCACCTTCAAAAAAAAAACATAATTATATTTTATTTACTGAAATATTAATGATATCAATTACCTGTATGAACCCTCATGTGATTGACTAGATTGCAACTTTGAGAAAATGATTTATTACAAACATCACAGATATATGGCCTCTGTCCAGTATGAGTTCTCATGTGAATTTGTAAATTACTAAAAACAAATTATTATTATTATACAAGGTGTTTTAAAAAAACATGTGCCATATCTCGTGGGGAGATTCCTCTCGTAAAAATAAGATTTATTTTTCATATTAACATAGGCCAGATTCTGCTTTGTTTCGTACCTACAGGGGGTTAAAGTTAAAATGTTCTTCTTTTTTGATTTAGTATAATATTCTTCCAAGTGCTTTTAGCGCTTCAAATGAAATTTTGAGTTACTATAAGTACGACATATTTTAATGCTAAAAAAGTGTCGATATACCGGGTGCGTCTCAAAAGTGACTCAGCCCTATAACTTTTTTATTTTTTCAGATAAATTGATTGATTGACGTATTCAGTTGTTTGCGGTCACTTCCTGTTTCACCGGCAATGACTACAACTTTTGATTTTTAAATGGCACCTTCGGTATTTTTTACTTTATTCAATAAAAAATGACACTCTGAATAGAATGACATATTATATGTCAACTTTTGACATTTTCGCATATGATTTATTTGAAATTGTAACATGCGGTTCATAACGACGATTTGGCTCGAAACACCAAGTGTGTGGTATAAAATTATTTGTAAAAAAATGCTTTTTCCAAATATGCTAATGAGCCCCCCTGTTCCATTTGAAAAGCTTGAGATATGTTTAAAAATTCGATTTGGGTATCTTTTAACCAGCCAGAACAAGACACGAAAACATTAGGCGATCAAATATATTTTTCCAAGGCTCTTTGATTAAAAATTAATGTTTTTAACACTCACATGGTACTCTAGGTTCAAATTTAAAATACCATTTTTTTTAAGCGAGTATGTCAAAAGTTGACATATTTTCAGTGTCATTTTCTACCGAATAAAGTAAAAAAATACCGAGGGTGCCATTTAAAAATCAAAAGTTGTAGTCATTTTCGGTGAAACAGGAAGTGACCGAAAACAATTGAATACGTCAATCAATCCTAATTTATGCCATATACTAACATAGGTACCAAATCTCGTTTTTTTATCTGAAAAATAAAAAAGTTAGGGGAGAGCCACTTTTGATGCGTACCCAGTATTCACCAGGAACATGCATATTCAAATTCAATTCATTGGAATATTTTTTTAAAAAAAATATGTGCGCCACTGACTTTTTTTCCTCTATTAGCAAAAGTGCCATTTAATGCTGATTAAAAGTTGCATCTTGATATTTTGTCCATTTTGACCTCCTCGATGAGACAAACACAATTATTCTATAGTAACATTTAAAAAATTTTAATGTCATTAGTCATTAACTTGTCAAAATGTTAAGTAAGTACTCATTGATTCCCCATCGAAAAATATAAAAAAAGTTCCTATAAATATATGTGCGGAAATACAAGGTTTAAAGTTAGAGAATGTTAAACTTTTAAAAAATAGGCCTATTGTAATTATCTTAAATACCACTATTTTTTGGGGAAATTCTAATAACATTTAGTAATAAATTACATTAAATAAGTAATTTACTAATTTTATTTTTATATTAATTTTATTAATTGTGATTAATAAAATTGCGTTTATTTCATTGATGAGATCAAAATGGACAAAATATCAAGATAGACTTTTAATTGGCATTAAATGGCCTAAACACTTTTGAGAAGAAAAATCAGTGGCGCACGTATTTAAAAAAAATAATTTAGTGATAACCCATATATGCACGTCCCTGGTAAAACTGTCAACACTTTTTTTCAGGTAGATGACACTTCTTATGGGAGAACTGGGGTTGAGGAACTCAGTTTCAGGGGAGAAGGTTCCTGCACGGAGAGTCTTTGGACATTGCACCTCCATGAACCCTCCCAAGACCGCTGGGTACTCTCAACAATGATTGAGAGTATGTGATCTCTGATCACATCCTTCACGAGGTGGCCCTGTTGAAACTGAACTCAGTGGATCTAGACCGGGAAGTCGATAAACATCTCCCAAGCTAAGCTGTTAGACACCGTGGCGAAGGTGTTATTCGAACACCACCTTTCTCCTTGTCGGGTCGTTGACGTTGACTTGTCGCCATTTTATTTGTTTTGTTTACACGCTGCAGTTTGCAAATTTAATACATAAATTTATTTAGGCAAATATAGGTTTTTGATAAAACTCCTCGGACTAACGTGTAGGTAAGTGTTGATAAATAATTTTTTTTCATCCTAACATGCTCATTGTCATTCTCCTGATTTAGGTGACAGAAAAGGATCATCAAATCAAATTGAATTTTATATTTTTTCATCCCAGGACCGATAGTAAAATATATATTTTATGGATACCTTCCTAAATATCAACGAGATGAGCCATCGGAAGAAAGGGACCATAGTACAAAACAGAAAGGTGACCTTTTTTCTTTCCACTTAGGATATTGAAATTACATACTGTAGTCGTGTTCGGCATTATGCTCTGAGAAATATAACAACAGATATAAAGCATCCCAGAGGAAAAGAGAGGCAATACCTGTACTCTCTCTGATATTTGTGAAAGTTACGGCAAAGTATTGTTGTAAATGTCATCTTTTTGATCGACCTGAAAACTTCGAGCAAAAAGATGACACTTTCAACAATACCCTGACAGATATCGGAGACGATACAGGTTTTTCCTCTCTTTTCCCCTGGAATACTTTTAATTTATTATTCTTTGTTTATCTAGATTTCTCAGAGCACTATGAACGAACTCAGCTTGTATGTTTGAAATAATCGTCCAGTTGGTTTAAAAATGATGATCGATGACATTTCCCATATAATTTTACTTTCAAAATTATGATATATATCTTCATTTCTAAGCCATCTATAACGCCATTTTTTTCAGTTTTGTTATAATTAATTTTGTCTCTTGATCTACTTGTAACATTATTCTTTTAATTTTATTAATTTATTGTGGTGAAATTAATTACTGTTGTATATTTGATATTGATATTAAACATATTTTTAAAAAATGGTGTATTTTTTGTGTTTTTATGTATGTCATAATTAAAAATAAATGAAGAATTAAAATTTTTTATTTTTTTAAACTTCCCGCCATGCGTGACAATCTAGTCCGTAGTACCTACAAGCGATATTGGGGCCGCTAGTAGCAGTAGACTTGTCAACAGCGTCAAATTTAAACGTCAATTCACTTTCCAATATTTAGCAAGGCGCTCGCACTTCTTCTTGTGTATGTGTTTTATGCTTTTTTTTAGCATTAAAATAAATAGCACTCATAGTAACTTTTACCCTCCAAATTTAATTTGAATCGCTAAGAGCATTTGGAAGAAAATTATAATAAAAAAAATTAAAACTTTAACCTCCTTTAACTACGAAACAAGCAGAATCCATGATTATATGAAAATTAAATCTTATTCTTACATGAGGATTCTCCCCACGAAAAACGGCACATGTTTTTTAAAACACCCCGTATAACTTAAATAAAGTATTAATACATACGTTTGGCTGTTAAATGCCTTAGAACACATTTCACAGACAAGACCATTCCCGATTGTAGTTTCTACAATCTCATGTTTGAGCAAGTGTGTTTTCATTCTCCTAAAGAATTTTTTACAGATAGGGCATTTCTCTAACGGACTGCTTTTTCTTCTTGTATATGTTTCTTCAGCATTTAATGCCTCATCTTTGGATATCAACCTTACTGGAGTTCTTACTCCTAAATACAAACATTAATAAACTTAATTTCATATTTAGATATGTTACTTTACCGGGAGATCTAGTTCCAACATTATTTTTTATTTTCATGTTTGTTTCTTCCTCGTCACCTGACATTCCTTCCCCGATGTCTCCATTGGAAACGTGTTTTTCAAAAAATTTAATTTTAAAACTTGCCCTCTTGTTTTTCTTTACTGGGAAAATTGATATTTCCGGTCTGGCATAACTTGAAAAGTCATTATCATTTGCAGGTAGTTGAGAATTGTCTTTGAAGTCGCTCTGAAATATATACATAATGTTAGCAGCTCGAGAGTTCTAAAGAAAAGAAGTATAACCTCTACAGGAAAAACAGTCTGTCCTAGTTTACATGCTGAAAATGACGTCATTAATTGATTATATAGAGTGTAACAAAAAAAAATATCATAATACACTCAGTTATATACTTTTTTCTTTCCTGGTATTTTGAGGCACTTGACCCTTTGTCCTTTAGAACTAGCTACCACTGAATGTTAGGACATATTTTGTACTTTAATATTACTTTACTAAGTACTAATTTTACTCAAGACTCTTTACTCAAACTATTTCAAAACATTCTTATGAGACATTTTTTATTGTTATATTTTTTAGTTAAAGAAATACCATTAACAACTTCATGCTCTACGATTAGTTCTAAGGTAACTAAGTATTTTTTGTTTATCCCCTAAATATCTCAGATAATTCTATACAATTAAAACAACTGTAATTATCACAAATGTTTTTTTATCTTTTTATTTCTACATCAAAATTTAATAATTTTTTTCCGGCCTGATATACACAACACGTACCTTTCTATTAAAAAAACCTAATTGTTTACTATAGTGGTCCACCTGAGATATTTGGGTAGAAAGTGTTCTCTTGTTCTTTCTACACAATTGCAATTTCAAGAAAAACTGAAAGAAATGCATGAGCACATAAATACAAACATTTATATAAAATTAAAGCTGTTAAGAACATTGAATACATAGCAAGAATTAACAAAATAATAGGAACAAAATTTGCAGGAATTAGTTTAAGCCCCTATCTATAAGGGTTAAGCTAAATAGCTAAGAATATATTATGGAACTGGAATACTTATTTGGTTTTAAAACAATGAAATAATGAGAGACAAATAAAAGAATATAAATTATTTCCATTTGACTAAAATAAAGAAACACTTACGTTTTCTTCCTCATCGTCTTGGCTATTGATAATAACCATTGGCTCAATGGAGGGATGAAAATCATCCCCATCATAATTCGCCATATTATATTTTATACCTGCAATAAAAATAAGAACTAATACGAATTTAAGGCACTAATAAAGCCACAACAAAGCTATTTTTAATGTGTTGATGCCCGAAGCTTCTTCAGGGCATGGATTTTTTCGTTTATTTTTGTTGCTGTCAAAAAGCAGTAAAATAAACAAGGCATTTTTTATAAACGATTTTTCTCTAAGTACATGAAAGCGATCTAAACACTCACCTGTTTATTGTTCACAATACACAAAAGAACACTCTGCCACGCCGAGACTGAAATAGCGAAGGCCAAGAAGACCAAAAAGTCTTGGAATCTAATTTATTTTGAAAAAAATATACAAAAAGTCCGCTTGGGTCTGTCAAAAGTGTGCGGTCTTTTTCTATCGACCTTTCTATTCACATCGATCGATTCTTTCCTGGAATAATTTCAAAAATCGTCTCTCTCTGTCTGATGTATTGCCTTTGAATTAATTATAGAGAAGGAACACTATACATTATGTACTTATGCAACTATTTATACTCAAATAAAATATGGGGGATATTAAGGGTTGCATACCTATTAAATAAAAACTATTTATTATTTTAGTAAACTTTTAATAAAAAAAATGTTTTACAAATTGGTTTAAATTTATTTTACAAATTTATAAAAAAATATTATTTAATCGAGTTAATAACTTATGGTGTTACATTTATTATTATCGAAACTTAAACTGGTTTTTATAAACTTAAAACTGGTATTATCAAAGCGTTATCGAAAAAGTTAGATCTTATTTGGAACTACCCTCACTGTCTGTAGTATCTGGAAACCACCCTTTAGGACCTGGTTGGGGCTTTCCCCATTTTCCCCTGCTTACGCCTCTATATTGTCGAGTCACCTCCTGGCTTGTCGTTCCACCAGGTGTTTGAGCCACTCTAAAATTAAATTAATAACAGGTATATATAGAGAAAAGCAAAAATTATCTATGTTTTGAAAATAGATATGTATTATGTATCTGTCTTGAACCTTTTTGGAATCATCAATAATTATCATTTCAAAGAATTCTGTGACTCACATCAGTGTGTTTTTTAATTATCCGTAACTTTATGAAGAAATTATAAACATAACTCTGGTTTTTTATTTAGTATGTACCTTCTTGATTCGCTGGCTTCCCAAGACGTCTGAGCTTGCCCTTCTCTGCTGGAACTTTCGCTATCTAATCGCACCCTTGGTAGATGGAAAGCTTTCAATTTTGGACTTCTTTGCAGTTTAGGAGTGTGTTCTGGCGTGACACCAAATTCACTTGGTGTATCTGGTAGGACCCACCTTAAAAATTACATAGAATAGGCGAATAGAATTACAACACAGCAATTAAATTAAGGAAAAAAATCTAGATCATATCGTTGGTTTGCTGAAAAAAAGTCAAATACAATAGGATCGAGAAGATAAACGACGTCAGCGATGGCTATGAAATGAAGATCGCTGTCATTTTATCAGAGACAACTAATTTTATATAAAAATTATATGGGGAATGTCATTGGATGTCATCGATGTTCATTTCCAAGCAAACTGGACGCTGTATTTTTTTTCGATCATACGGTATATTTTGTTAATCTAATTTATTTATTAAAATAGTTGTACCGGGTGTCCCATTTTTATGTATTTTTTATTCTATCTTGGTATCTAAAATTATATGGAATTTCTTGCGTATGAGCGGATATAGAAGTTACGGTTTTTGCAATAGTGCCTGGCTGAGGATTCAGGTGGTAGCTCTGCACACTCTGCAGTAAAAAAATGTCAAGCACTTTGCCGCATTTATTTATTTCCTGACATTGTCATTTGTTTTGACACTTTAGTTTTGAACATAGATAAATGAAACAAGTTTAGATTGGAAAGTGCCCATAAGGACAACGTAAACACTATTTGGCGCTATTCATGCAACGGTCGCGACCCAAAACTTTTGAAAATTTCGGAGCGGTTCGGCTTTTTCCGGAATTATATCGCCAAATATTGCTTATTCAAATTTATTGTTATTTTTGTTTAATTTTATAAATAAAATACAGTGTGTTGCATACAAGAAACTTTATTTTATATAAGGACGAAGTATGAAATACCTATGAAACATTGGAAACCGACGTTATGCCACGATTCACGATGGTTTTTGCAGTTCACAGTTCACAGCACAGCTTTTTAAAGTTTTTAATGCCACTTTTTCACAATTATCACCGGTTAGAGTAAATAAAACTTGAATTAAACTCACAAGATAGCAATAATTACTTTGAAAATGGAAGCTATAAACACTTTTCGGAATTTCTTTAATGAGAGCGGTTTAGATTTTGAAAGATTATTATGATTTTTGAAGATTCTGACTTTGACAAGAGAAAATTATTTCTGTTTTTGTTTGCCGTTGTTCTTAGCGACCGCTATAGCCATGCTATAGCAGCGCCAGATCGCGTATAACGGTCGCGACCCAAAATAATTTCGCGACCTAAATTTTTTACGGGCTTTCCAATCTAAACTTGTTGCATTTATCTATGGTTTTGAATTAGGAGTTTATGGTTTAAATCAGTTTAAATAAATAGTGTGTGATACTTTCATACTTTAAGCTTAAAAATGTTTATTAGCAGATCTTGCAGTCGGACATTGTTCTTTTTAGAATCTCTTTTAGTGCGAATTATACAAAACATAGCTTAATAATAGAATAATAGTCGTAGAAAACTCAGTGCAACTTTATTAGAATATTTTGAACGGGAAAGCGGTAGTAATGGGTCTGGGGTAATGTTCCTTAAGTGCTGTTAAGGTGAGTTTTCTTGTAAATAATAACTGTTTATATATTTATAATTGATTTATTTTTGCTTATTAAAATATTTAGATTAATGGAAAATATATAAAAGTGGACAACGCTATGCCGGCCAATCTTAATCACGTGACTAAAAGTTTATTTTTTGTTATGCAATTGTACACGATCTAGAGAAATAAAAAAAACTAGTAAAGACTTACCGATCCTTATCAGTGTATTCGCTGAGAGATCTTCCTAAGCTAGGTTGACTTAGAGATCTGTTCAAGGAAAGTCTGGGAGATTCAGGCAATAAACGACTTGAAGCTCCTCCACTCTCTGGATATCTACCAAAATCTACAGTCATCTCGGTCATTGATCGTAGATCAGCTTCACTTTTAAATGTCGTAGATCTGCAATAAATTAGTGAATTAATATATGCTTGTTCTTTAGGCTTTGATAATTTTTTCTAAAAAACGTTTAATTTGGTCAGATTTTTACTTCACCATGAATACATTGCTCTAATTTAGCCAAGTACAAATAGAGTTCATAGGAGATAAAGATTTCAGTATAGTGGCAATTTATAAGGGGTCAGACTAGTGATGGGAATACCGATTCCACATTAGTCACGTTACAATAGCGACCGTTTCGGAGAAATACCGCGACAAAATACCGCGATTTTGTAACCGAAACTCCGGCTTCCAAAGTGTCGCTGTTCCCGCCTATGCGGCATTTCTGGTCACTGTATCTACCTACTCCGATCCCTGCCGTTATATCTGTGTCCGTGCAAATTCATAAAGAACAACAATTCATAAACCCCCAAATTTGTAAACAATTAACAACATGCAGATGGCTAGAAGAATTTAGTTATGTTAGCTTTTAATTTTGAAAATAAAACTATTAAATAAAAAATATAAAATAATATAATTTATTGGTATTCAATACTTTTTATTCGCCATCTTTTCTTCAGACTGAAGAATAGCAATTGTATTCTTCTGATACATATTATAACCGTTAAAGTTTAAATTAAAATACATATATTTGTAAGACAATTATATTTTTCTATCTTTTTTCTTAAAATCTGTTTACTTTAGAAATAGTTTAGCTTAAACAATAAAAAGTAACATAATTTGAATCATTATTCGAGATACCTACGCCATATGCTAATTTTTTTTTATCTACGTGTATGGTTTTATCTACTTATATTCCTTATTGGTGGAAAAGTTAGAAGTAAAATGTTCATGTTAGATAATCAAAATAAAATCAGTTTTACTTTATTCCCGTTTGTTAGTAAAATGTAATTCTCTTTCTTTGCAGACTATATAACTCTAATTGTGATTATATTTTTAATCAATTGAAAGTAGCTTTACAAATTTCATTTTTTTCGTTCATATTTCTTCTTTGATTTTTTTTATTTTTGTAAAAGTGTTTATTTGTAGCTATCAAATATACCTAACATGTATTTATTATAAAACAAAAATGCCTAGTACCTACGAGCGCTCCAGCAGTCGCTCGATCACTGGCACTGGAGCAAAATACGGCGCGGTATAGAGGTCGTTACCAGTTATATCTCTTCGCGATAGATGAAACCACGACTTCAGGAGCGCGGCGCCGCACAGTGCTTCGAACATATGGCTCTAGAGGACAAAAATGCAAAACTTCTCTTTTATTGTAGGCAATTTATTCAAACTAGGTTTATTTGACACAAATAATGAGTACTCTCATTGTACTAAATGATGATAGTCTTAGTCCCACGTTTATGAAAAAAAAACTTATAAATAATAAAAATGTTGGAGCTGTGTTCCATCTAAGAAAATAATAATTTATAGTATGTGAACGGTGCAAGTGTTAAATAAATACCTTGTGATAAAAAAGAATTGAAATAACATTAGAACATAATTCCTACAATATAAGCCTAATATAAGATAAAAATGTTTTTCTTTAATGAAAAAGAAACATTAATGTTATATTTAATTAAAAAAAATACTTAAGATACTATAAATTTACTTTAGCACAACAAAATGCATAGATCGTAACTACTCTGATTCAGAAGAATCACTGCTGACAGAATCTTCCAAATTTATATAATATCCAAATCACAGGTAGATAAAGTATCCTCACATATAAGATATTTCTGTACATAATTTTCTAATATGTTCCTTTTTCGCGTTTGTTACTGTTTTTTTTGTTGGTATGAGGGGTTCGGATGTTAATAGTAACCTCTTTAATAGACCATATCCATATATTACTTTTTTCTTTTCTTGGGTATGAGGTTTTATAATAAATTGAAAGATAGAAACTTTTTTTATGCGACGTTTCGCTCCAACATAGTGGGCTTTTTCAGGCACAAGTGGTGTCTCATTTGACTGGAAGGTTCATCAATATCTAATAAAGAACACATTTTTTGAAATACAAATAATTTTGAGTTCTTGTCCTTGTGATCAAGCCAAGTATTAACCAGATCGGCATTGCTTATCAATTTTCCTCAATCTGAAAAGTATTATAAAATAAAGTTCGTCGCAAGCAGACGCAGGTGAACTATACAAAAATTAAAAGTGTATGAATATGACAACAAAAATATGCAATAAATACGATATGTATTGATATGTTTTTTTTTAAATGCCTTTTTGAAGTTTGAAAACGTAAAATTTTTATACCCATTTAAGAATTATCTTAAAAAATAAATAAAAACTAAACAATCACGAACTTGTTTAGAAATAAATTTAAAGTACATACCTTGTTTAACAATATATATAGTGGCTTTCAATTAAGTACGTACCGTTTAACTCCATAATATACAGAACTACTATGAATGTTATTCTTTTCACTGATAAGATAATGATCGCAAAATTTATTTTTAGTGAAAATATTTGCTAACAAAAAACGCTGTTTATGAAAAATAATATACAGGATGCTTGAACATTGCTATAAATATAAAATTACATATTCAGATTTTAGTAAATTTTAACTCTTTTTTTCGATTTTTGTCCATGGGATGAAGCACTGTGCGCCGGCGCCGGCGACTGGAGCGAAAACGTCGCGGTCGAGATCGCGCGACGCTACGTACTTACCAGTTCCAGTTCCAGTTACTACTGTTCGCGACCCTAGGAGCGCGACGGCTGGAGCAAAACTTGTCGCTATGCGGTTACTACGGTTAGAGCTAACTCCAAGAGCGATTATAAATAATTTATTTGCAAGTTATAAATAATTTATAGTTTTGTCGTTATTATGATCGTCGTTCTTCAGTAACAGGTTCCTGATTCGTTGTGGAGCGCGACACGACCTTACAAAAAAATACCGCTCCAAAATCGTGTTACATCACTAGTTCAGTCCGATACATTTAATTAAAAATATAAAATAAATAATTAAATTAAATGATAATTACTTTTTAATCCGATACATCACTAGTTCAGACGCTTTCACGATTTCGTTTATATAATAGTTCAATCTAAAATTAACCATTCAGTTGTTTATTTGTACTCAGAAAATGTAAAAATCATTTAATATATTATAAACAGAAAATAAGCGGCAATCTAAAATAGATATGCTATAATAAAGAATGCAATACAATAGTACTATAAAATTTGTAACACTTTGTATTTTTTGAGAGCAAGACATAGCCTTACGAAACTTACAACTTTTATAAATTATACAAAGTATGTAGTCATTATACTGCGTCATATACTAAAGCCCATCTGATCAAATGTTTTTTTTATCTTACTTAGTAGTAGTAGTAGTCATTTAAAAATCTAGTATTTAATTAGAAAAAAAAACAATAGTACTCTCTCGACCAGACAATATGACTAAAAGTTTTAAACAATACTATTTGAAGTTGAAGCATTTAGATGTTGTTAAGTCAGTTGTGAAAACAATAAATTAGTTGATGTTGAATATAGTAATAAATTATTAATAAACTTATATAAGAATATGGATTTACCCTAAGTTATAATGTTTTTGATAATATGTTACATAATTGAGTATAGATTGCGTAAAAAAAAAGAAATGCGATTCATATTCTATAAAATTGTGACGTATTGAAATACAAATGATAACTTTTTAAGTTTTTTGAGTAAACTGATGCTTTATAATAATTATAAATAATTAGTTTAGAATATATTGTGTCTTGTAGACTGGGTCAACAAAAGATTAAAAATAGATCGAGAAAATCTTAACCATCTAAGTTTCGCTAATGACATAGTCCTAATAGCCAATAGTCCTGAAGAACTACAAACACAAATTAACGAACTAAATAGAGCCAGCAATAAAGTGGGTCTCAAAATGAATTTAGCAAAAACTAAAGTTATATACAACTAGTGGAAAGAAAAGACATTCTAATAAATAACAACACTGGAAAAGGTAGAAGAATGTATTATATATTTGGGACAACTAATACAGAGCTCAGGATCTCTTCTAGCAGTATGGAGTTAGTTATGGAAGAACCTCAATCATATTCAAATCTAGAATGCCACTCTATCTAAAGAAGAAAGCATTCGACCGACCAATGGGTACTACCAGTCATGACCTATGCATTCGAAACCTGGATACTTAAAAAGGAAACTGCAGCTCGCACAACGCTCAATGGAACGAAATATGCTGGGAATAACCAAGAGAGACCGTAAAAGAATAGAGTGGATATGACAAAAGACCCAGGTAATAGTTGTCATCGACAGAGTCGAATCCCTCAAATGCCAATGGGCAGGACACCTGGCAAGAAGAACGGACAATAGATGGACCACAAGAATTACAGCATGGTACATACGAGGAATTAAGAGATCTAGAAGAAGACCAAATCTCAGATGGAACCATGATATTAGGAAATTAGCAGCGATAATTTGGGCCCGAATAGCCAACAATAGACAACAATGGGTCCAACTACAAAAAGAGTATATAAATATGTGAGGGTGGCTACACTATAATTGGAAATGGTTGAATAAGCTGAAAATGATGATGATGATGATAACGTGTCATACTCTATAATTGTGTATATTTTGTCTTTGTGCTACGATAAAACACATTTTATTAAGTTATTAACAAATACATTTATATATTATATATAGGTGTTCAGGACTACTCTAATATCATGTTTGAATTACGTACCTTCTTGATATCGATGACGGGTAGAGTTGGGGTTCTCTAATGCTGCTACCATCATCAGAATCATATTCTAAGAGAGTTGGCAAACTGCCTCTACGGGGGAAGAAGTATTTTTGGTCCGGGCCTATAAAATCATTGATTTTCAACAAAATTATGATTGTTGTTATTGAATTTTAACAGAAATTTACCTATATCTTCAGGAGTCAAAATTCTGATAATAACATCCCATTTTGGAGGTTCAAAAACTCTCTCAAAGCGAGTATCTCTGCGAATTCTTTCATAATCTTCTCGTACTACAGCCTCTGAAAACGTATCGTTTTATTTAGAAAAAGTTTGATTAATCGAAAAGATATTTTATACCGGATGCGTTTCAAAAGTGGCTCACCCCCTATAACTTTTTTATTTTTTCAGATAAAAAAACGAGATTTGGTATGTTAGTATATTTATGATATAAAATAGGATTGATTAACGTATTCAATTCTTTTTGGTTACTTCCTGTTTCACCGGAAATGGCTACAACTTTTGGTTTTTATATAGCACCCTCGGTATATTTCTACTTTATTCGATAGAAAATGACACTCTGAATAGAATGACATTTCATACGTCAACCTTTGACATTTTCGCATATGGTTTATTTGAAATTGTACTGTGCGGTTCACAGGGGTGGATACAGGAATTTACTTTAGGGGGGGGGCAAATAAAAAGTAATGTAGAATATGCTATTTAAAGCGCTAATTTTAAGCCAAAAGCCTGATATTTAACCCAATTTATAGATTTTAGGGGGGGCCGGACTCCATGGGCCCCCCCTAACGGGTTATGAACGGGTTGTAGTTATGAACCGCCACTGGCGGTTCATAACCACAACTGGACTCGAAATACTAAGTGTGTAGTACCAAATTATTCGTAAAAAATTGCTTTTTCCAAATATGCTAATGAGCTACCCTCGTTCCATTTGAAAAAAATGAGATATGATTAAAAATACGATTTGGGCATCTTTTAACCGGCCAGGACAAGACACAAAAAACAACAGACGATCAAAATTATTTTTCCAAGGCTCCTTGATTAAAAATTAGTGGTTTTAGCACAGCCATGACACTCTAGATTGAAATTTAAAATACGATTTTTTTAAAGCAAAAATGTCAAAAGTTATTATGTTAGTTAGTATGTCATTCTATTCAGAGTGTCAATTTCTATCGAATAAAGTAAAAAAATACCGGTGAAACAGGAAGTAACAAAAAACAATTGAATACGTCAATCAATCCTAATTTATGTCATATACTAACATACCAAATCACGTTTTTCTATCTAAAAAAATAAAAAAGTTATAGGGTTGAGCCACTTTCAAAACGCACCCGGTATAGCATTATTATAAAATAATTTAAGTAATTTTTTTACTAACCTGTTAGTAGAGTTCTTAATGTCGATTCAGTTGTGATTATCTGTCTCCATTTCATACGGTCTGTCATAGTTAACTGTGAGTTAAAAGTGTCTGCAGTTTCCAGCACGTGACTTTCTTCTTGTTCAATGGGTTGAAGTACTCTGATCAATACCTCCCAGTTAGGAACCTAAAAATGCATTTTAATCAATTTTATTAGTCCAGTTATTTTATACAAAAAGCCCTAAAGATGAAAGTAAAGCTCCAAATTTTGAAAATGCCTATTTATATTTCATATCAATTAAACTTTTAGTTACGTAATCGAGGGCGCGATTTTTAAATCATTGTTTTCAACCACGGACATATTCGGCGTCGGGCTGACTAATTGGAATTTAAATTTCGCGTTGGGGATTCAGGTGGAGCTCTGCTGTAAAAAATATCAAGTTGTCACATTTATTTATTTCCTGACATTGTCATTTATTTTGACATTTTAGTTTTGTATTACGAGTTCTTCGTTAAATTGTGTTGTAATACTTTAAGCTTAAAAATGTTTACTAGCTAATCTCTTTTAGTGCGAAGTGTATAAGATAGCTTAATAGCCGTAAAAAATTAATTGCAACTTTATTACAATATTTTGAACGGGAAAGCGGTAGTAATGACCCCTTATGTCCCTCAAATGCTGTTAAGGAGGTGAGTTTTGTTGATGTAAATAATAACTGTTTACATATTTATAATTAATTTATTTTTGTTTCCTAAAATATTTTGATTAAAAGAAAATATGTAAAAGTGGGCAACGCTGTACCGATCAAGCTTAATCACGTGACTAAAAGTTTATTTAAAATATAAAAACTATAGGTAGATATGCAGAGTCCCATGTAAATGATCGTTAAGTCTAATGCCTGTCAAATAAATAAGCTGCGATAGTATCCCTGGTAATAAAGAAATATTAAGTTTACCTCAGGATTAACTTTAGGTACATTAAATATTCTTAGCCATTCTTCTCTATCTGTAGTTTCTTTCGTCGTGGCTGTTGTTCTAGTTGTCAAATCCGTGGTAACGACTGCTCTTTGAGGTGAAGGCGGCATTTGGTGTAAATGACCCACTAACTCGGGAGAATTCAGAGGCAGTTTATCGTCATCTATCTGGGCTTGTGGTGGTAGACTCATTACACGTTCCATCTTTGGCGTCAGAGTAAGTCCTATAAGAAAAAACGATTGCGTATAAGTAATTTTATTGGTGATGGAGTGTATTCGAGCGAAAATTCGCTCGAGTACTCGATTATTAAAATAACCGACATCGCTCGATTATGAACGAGCAATGCAAGTGACGAGTGACGATCGACGAACGCTAGCGATCCTAGAATGAAATAAATTGAGATCCGATTTTAATGTGGCATACTCGATACAAAGCCGAGCGAATTTTCTACATACATTGCAGGTAGCAAATTTATACGACGTTATCTGTTGCGTATCTGAGTGGCAAAATTTTACTACCTACATCGACAATGCTTTAAACTAAACTAAATTAAGCGAATTCGCTCGTCGTTTGTTACTTGCCACTTGCCATTCATCACCAAAAGAATATGTCCTTTGCGCACGCAACTTACTGCTACGAGTTGCGAGTACCTACAAGCGACAGGCAAAAAACTGTATTTTTAAATACGAGCGAAATTTCACTCGATTATTGAAATCGCTTGAAACTCGAGTACCCAAATATTGAAATTAATCGGTTTTTCCCATCCTTAAATTTTATACAGAAAAGAAATCGTGTGTGCACTATGTGCGCATATTTGAAGTGACACTTCTTACTAACAACTATTAAATTGAAGGATTTGAAGGACATATTTGAAAAAGTAATAAATATTTTGATTCACTTTAAGAAAATTTGTATTAAAATGACCGTCTGTCCGTCTCAGAACTTCATTCGAGTACCTCTATCCACGTGCTGAGTTTGGTCCCAATCGACCCATAATTAAGAGAAAAATCCTGATGATTTCGTCCATTTAGAGGCATCGGTTCGAAACGTCGAGGGTGTCATCCTGTAGCCCGTCCCCAATTATGCTGAAATCGACCCACATTTTTCTTCAATATTAAATCCTTAGTCCCACCCTGATGAAGATGTAAAACGAAACGTCGTATCCAAGTTTGCAGGGTAGGACCGTGTGCACCGTCGCTCACATAGCCTACTCACCAAATTTGGTCGCGATCGGACGACATCAACTTTTAACGTTTCTTACGTCAAAACTAACTGTCACAGTGACACGTGTCGTATACGGTCATGTTGGCCTTGGTCCAATCTATTAACATACCAAATGTCATTTAAATCGGACGTTTTTTTATTTGATTCATTGATAATGGGGTTTCATAGTGCAGGAAACGTCGTCAAAATATCATGAAAAGATGGTGACAAAGACCCGTCTCAACTTTTTTCTAAGCTGTAGGCCTCGCCGTAAGCGTTTCCTCTCGTGTCGTGTCGTGTCACAGTCTTGAATTGTTACTCTCAGCGCGCATAAAGAAGTTTCCCTTCAACATGTACTAATATTACGAATAAAAATGTTAAATTATATTACCTGAGGCTGATGATATGTCAGAGAAGTCTTCCCACTGAGGTGGTTGAGGGCTGATGGGGTAGTTTTTAATGGTAACATCCCAAGTTTGAGGTGGCAGTGGTTTGGGTTCGGCGCGGAATTGAGTGACTTGACGTTTGTGGCGATCGATATCTTCAATAGTCTTTTTCTCTGAAAATAAAGTTTCAAATACAGTATGATCATAAATATAGTTATGAATATAAATACTGCAAAACCGTTATTTATAAATACTTTATATACGAATTATGGACGATTATTGTACCTTTGATAGTTCTTAAGTAGACATCATCAACGAAGTGCTGGGTGATATCGGGATGGTGTACAACAGGAAGTGGCGCCATTATAGGAACTGGTTCTTCCACTTCCAAGACTTCTTCCTCGATGATGGGTTCAGGAGGAGCAAAGCTCTCGCTTCTGGAACTCTTACTGTCGGTGAATGATAATGATGGTGATGGAGGTGGTGCTCTTCGAACTTTTACTTGAACATCAAACTGTAAATTCGAGAGAATCGTATTAAAATAAAATTTTTGGTTAATTTTGAGATTTATAGGATGAAAATTTTTGAAAAATCCCCTGATTATATTATGTGCAAAACACTATTCAGTTCTCTTTCAAATGAATTTAAAAGCATATACCCTCTGAAAAAATGTTCAGAATCGAAATAAAGAAATTGTTAATGGATTTAGAATCTTAGTTTAAGACATTTTTGTCCTGATTTCTAAATTTGATTTTTCATTATCTCTTTCATTTTGTATTACTGAATCATTATTCCGAAAAATAATTTTTTACTTACTGTTATAACCGTATGGTGTATCGGTACACAGGACATAGGAAATCCGATGTAAATTTTGAAAAGATCAAATGTTATATTCCCAGATAATTTTATGCAAAAGTTGTATTAGACTTTTTTGACGAGGTGTTAAAGCTGTACTTTTTTCTAGAATTTCATTTTCATCATTTTTCTAGAATTTTCATTTGGAATAGTCATTTAAAAGTTATTAGCAAAAATCTACTTTCAAATTAGTAAAATTTATAATACTTACGGCCCAGACAAAACTACAATTAAAATACCAGCAAAAATGTGATTATTTCATTGCCACTTTCGATGTCATATTTTGTTTACAAAAATTTGAAGGTACCAAATAGATTAATTTTGTATAAAATAAATAAGATTTTTGCAACTTCTGAAAAAGTTACGATGGGTAAACGGCATTTTGCTGGAAATAATATTCCCGCTATGTTAGATTTGTTTGCAGCTCAGTCTCCGGAAAGCCTATACCGAATAAGTCAACAATTTAAAGAATAAACTAGGCAGAAAACATATGGAAGAGTAAAGACAAACATAATTGAACAGGAAGAAAACAACAATAACTTGAATATTCTTGATGTTGAATAAAAGAAAAACATTGACTTCCGTCTTGGGGATACAGTAGGAAAAGACCACACAATCTTTCGCCGAAGGGCTTCTTCCTGTAGAAAACACTCAAAACCCATCTTTCTGGGCATACTAAATACAGAGATTTAGATGAACTGAAAACGATATATCTGTGGAAGCTAAAGATTCTCCCCTTAACAGCTTTGTATTGTGAGGCATGAATTTAACAATCATTCGGGATATTGTTTGGCTGTGAATGGGGGATGTAAACATTTTAGTAATTAGTATAGTTTAATAAAGTTTCTTTAGTTACAAATATTTCTTTTGTTAAATTATTGTGGATGTATGTGGTATGAGCGAGGCCTGCGAATGATCGGGTAATAAACAGCAACTTAGTCATACTACGCGAATACAGTTTAACAAATTCTCAATTCAACTAATTCTTTTGTAGATGATCATTCCAATTCAGAAAAAAATAACCATCCTTTCCAAACCACATAAATTCTTGTAAATAAAAAAAATGTGACATCGAATTTGACAATGACAAAATCATATTTTTGCTGGTATTTTAATTATAGCTTTCTCTGGACCGTATTATAAATTTTTAGTACTTTGAGGGTAGATTTTTGCAAATAACTTTTAGATGCCTATTCCAAATAAAACGAAATTTTAGATGAAAGTACAACTTTAACACCCCTTCAAAAAAGTCAACAATACAATTTTTGCTTAAAATCATCTGCAATGGGGAGATATTTTACCTTTTCAAAATTTACATGGGATTTTCTATGTTCCGTGTTCCGATGCATCACACGGTATACTTTTGTTGTTATACGTATTTATAGAGAGTTATTGGCGATAGAAAGATATAGTAGTTATTAAGTACAATATCTACGATCGAAAAATGAATGGCGTCAAAGACAGCTGGAGAATGATAATCGATGATAATTTTGGCGAGGTCAAGCCCTAGACGTCATTTACTTGGGCGGTACTCTTCTTTATTTTTTAATGCTACTCACTGCCAGCTAGTTTTAAGAAGGCTGTAATTTATTTTTATATTGAATAAACATGATTTTTAAAGGATGTAGTTTAAAAGTCGAGAAAAAATAATTTTTGGAAATATATTTGTGAGTCAGGAAACGTTCTATCTTTTTTAATTTTTCTATAATTAGTTTTTTATGTCACTTTTTAATAAACGATGTCTAAAGATTGACCTCGCCAAAATTATCATCGATTGCTATTCCCCAGCAGTCTTTGAGGCCGTTTTTATCATACGGTATTAGATAGTATGTATAACCAAATATTTGTTAATGTTTTCCTTTTTTGTTTATTTTTGCTGACACAATTTCATATGTGTGTAGATGCTTTGTAAACTTGAAGCAAATTTTGAAATAAATAATATTATTATTATCCTTATATATGTTATAATATATTTCATATCAATTAAACTTTTAGTTACGTAATCGAGGACGCCATTTTTAAATTTATTGTTGCCAACCATGGACATATTCGGCGCCTTGCTGACTAACTGCAATTTCAATTTCGCGCTAGGGATTCAGGTGGTAGCTCAGCTGTAAAAAATGTCAAGTTTATTTATTATTCATTTATTTATTTATTTCCCGACATTGTCATTTGTTTTGACACTTTAGTTTTGTATTACGAGTTTTTGGTTTAAATAAATAGTGTTGTGATACTTGAAGCTTGGAAATGTTTACTAGCAGCTTTTGCAGTTGAACATTGTTCGTTTTATAACCTCTTTTAGTGCGAAGTGGTACAAGATAGCTTAATAGCCGTAAAAACTTCATGGCAACTTTATTAGAATATTTTGAACGGGAAAACTTTAGTAATGACCCTTTATGTCCCTTAAGTGCTGTTAAGAAGGTGAGTTTTGTTGATGTAAATAGTAACTTTTTATATATTTATAATTAATTTATTTTTGTTTCCTAAAATATTTTGACTAAAAGAAAATATATAAAAGTGGGCAACGCTGAGCCGGTCCAGCTTAATCACGTGACTAAAAGTTTATTTGGTATGAACTGTAGTTGAATTACTTTGGGAGGGTCCTCCTTTACAGCTACGGGAAGGCGAGGTACTGTACTAGGTAAGGCAGTGACTTGTTCCACTTGCTGTTCTTGGGTGTAACCGTATCCATCACTAGAGAAGCTAGCGTTTTCATGGACTACAGCTTGCTCTTCTATTTCCGACGGTGACTCACCAGGGTATTCGGATCCAGATGATTCGCGAAGAGGTGCTAAAGCTGTTAAATAAAACAATAAAATTTCGTGTTAATACCAGCTTCACTTTACGAGCCAACGCTATCAGCTTTCTGTTATTTTCATCTCTGTTATGTTTTGGAAATTAACACTTTGTGTGGCAATTCCAAGATCAAATCGCGCGTACTCGTTATCGAATAACTGTTATTTTCATCCGTGCTGTTTTTTGAAGCAACTTTTGCGAGCCTAGAGATATTTCGTAGCGTAGCGTGCCTACTTTACATTACATTCCTTAAACTAAGGCTGTTAGCACACTGTTATTTACTCAACTGTTATTTTTGGAAACTGTTGCGGATCTTGTAAAACTCTTAGCGCGCCGATCCCGGTACCAAATCGCGAGTGCTTGTTTTTTCGAACTGATATTTTTATTCTTATTATTTCTTGAAACAACTGTTACGAGCGGAGTAGAATTACATGGCGCGGTAATGCTTCATTACAGCACGAGTCATCGGTGTAAACACGCTTATATTTTTATAACTGTTATTGTTTGAAGAAAGAACTATTGTTAACTGTTATTTATAAATAACAACCTGCCTCTCTCTTAATTATTTTGGACCAAGTGTCTTACTTACTCAACGAACTTTCTGATAACTTCTCAATGTCGCTTCCAAGAGATGTAGATGGGCGAGCTATGGCTACTGGTCTTCGTCTTAGACATAGATACGAAGCGGCCAAACCCAGGAGGAATAGGGATAAAAATAGGATACCGCAAATGATAAGGAGGAGTGGCAGTGGTGATAGAGGACTACGTTCAACTGGTGCTGCTGTAGGGGCTCTAAAAAAAGAATTGCATACTATAAATTTATCAGATTCACATAAAAGACGAAATTTGAATGAAAATTCATATACGGGGTTAGGCAATAGTGCGTCGGGTATGTGTAGCTCCTAGAATAAAAAACTTGGGAATTTTGTTTAAGTGCAAACTTAAAGTATGTACCAGGATGTATTTCAGGAAAATAGTTTAACTTCTATAGGGTGCCTCAAAAAAGTGTGAGTGGATCGTTTTAAATGGAACACCCTGTATATTATTGCATTTTTGGCTTTCTTTCAGATCACTTTACATAATCCTAAGATATAAGTAAATATATTAAAATTATATAAGAGTTCCTTGCCTTGAACTGCGAATATAGAAATTAATTCCACGCTGTGTTCGTCATAATGTGGATCAACCTGCTCGCACTACCGGTTTCAGGGCCCTACCCCATCATCAGGTGAGCTTGGGTATTTCCACAAAAAGTAAATATATTTCGATAGTTTCAGATATATTAATCAATAAATAAAAAATATATATTATTCAGCCTTTCTTAAAAAAAATATTAAAAATACAAGAACTGTCCTGAAATCAAAACTATATTGTATTTGTATTTTACTAAGAGTGAGTCGTAGGTCCCACGTGGGACCCTCCACTGAGGCCGCGAAGGCCTATTGTGGCTCAGTTTCTACAAGCTCTTTAATAGAAAAAGAGCATTAAAGTTCACCCTCAAGACCCAGCCTTTTCACATAGGCCGTTATGTCAGAGGGTGATATGTCTTCTAGGTCTGATAAGTCTAGCATGGGTTTGCCAAACACCTCAAACCTGGTCCTGCCCCCAGCAGGGCAGGTACACATAACGTGCTTCATTGTTTCGTCATCTTCCATACAGAGTCGGCATTCGGCGTCTTCCACCAGTCCCATCCTCTGTAGGTGTGATCTCAGCCGGCAGTGGCCCGTGTATACTGCAGTAAGCGTACGCGCTCCGTTCCTACCAGCCTTTAGGAGTTCATCTGTTCTACGTTTGGATGGCCCTGCTAGGATTGTCTTGGCATGTTCCATTCCGGGACTGTCATACCAGTCCCGAAACGTCACACCCCTAACCCATTCACAGAGCCTGTCTCTTGCGAGATTTTTTGGTACGCTAAGTGTCGGTTCTGGGCCCACGAATATCGAGCCTGCACCAGTTTTGGCGAAGGAATCAGCACGTTCATTTCCCTCTAGGCCGACATGTCCCGGTATCCATATTAGCGACACTTTGTTTCAATCTCTTAATATATTGAGTAGTTTCTTACAATGAAGAATCGTCCTGGACGTACTTTTCGTTGCCTCAAGTGCTTTCAACGCGGCTTGACTATCCGAAAATATGCTTATTGTTTTCCCGGTGTATTGCTGTTCTACCAGCAGTTGCATACAGGTTTCAATCGCATATAGCTCAGCTTGGAAAATAGTGGTGTGTTTTCCAAGACTGTGGTAGATCTCAGTCTTTGGACTGCTGCTTTGGTTTCTCGGCTTAACCCATTCGTCCCTATTCGGAAACAGGACGTTGTAGGTGCGCGTCAAGAGTTGGATTGGTGGTGTGAGATCATTCCCAGAATCTCCGAGACCATTCCCAGAATCTCATCCGATTGTAGTTCGCCTACTAGTCGGTTTTGTATGAACATGATTGTTCCTTGGCTCTCTCGTGCCATATTTAGAAACCTATATGTAGCCCATCTCGCCTCCCTCTCCAAAATAATTTGAAGAGGAGGTAAGTCGAGTAGGGTTTCCATAGCTTTTGACGGCGTAGAATGAAAGGCACCAGTCACCGCTAAGCATGCTTGTCGTTGTAATTTTGACAGTTTATTCTTTGCCGTTGTTTGGTTGGCTTTCTGCCACCAGGCAACTGCGCCATACTTGATAATAGGTCTGATGGCTGTCACGTATAGCCAGTACAAAAATATATATTTTTCAGCCTTTCTTAATAAAAATATTAAAAATACAAGAACTGTCCTGAAATCAAAACTATATTAGGTATATACTTTAGATGGTCTGTACTTACTTTACTATAAATAATGGTATTCGTAAATTATACAGGATGTTCAAAATTCTACGCCAAACTTTTTAAAATATAAAATAATTTTTCTTGTTTTTTTTTTAAATGGAACAATAATTTTTCTTGTTTTTTTTTTAAATGGAACACTCTGTACATTAATCAACAGATGTAGAATTAAAAAATGAACCTTTTTTGTATTTAGAGTATTTCAAAATTTTTAACGGTTTTGCAGATATTTGCGGTTTTATATTTCATATGGTATTTTCCACAGTAAATTTTTTTATTAAAACCGCCCAATAATTTTTGTCTCGTATATTTTACCGTTGAAAGAGCCGTAAGAAGTAATACTGCGTGTATCTGCGAAACCATTAAAACTTTTGAAATACTTTATATACAAAAAATGTTCATTTTTTAACTCTTTATCTAGTAAAAAAATAATATACAGGGTGTTCCATAAAAAAAAAATTATTTTAGATTGTTTGGCGTAGAATTTGGAAGACCCTGTATGATTTAAGATTACGATATTTATAGCAAAGTAAGTATAAACCATCTAAAGTAAATATTTATAATATAGTTTTGATATCAGGACACTTACTGAATTTGTAATATTTTTTTTAAGAAAGGTTGAAAAATATATATTTTTTTATTTATTTATTTTTTAATATTAAATAATTAATATCTTTATTCGATTAATATCTCTGAAATTATCGAAATATATTTACTCATATCTTACGATAATGTAAAGTGATCTGAAAGGAATCCAAAATTGCAATAATATACAGGGTGTTCCGTTTAAAAAAAACATCCCTATCCACTCACACTTTTTTGAGTCACTCTATAAAAGTTAAAATATTTTTCTACAATACATCTTCGTACATATTTTATGTTTGCACTTAAACATAATTCTCAAGTTTTTTATTCTAGGAGCTACAGATGCCCGACGCACAATTGCCGGACCCTGTATAGGGTGGCCCAGTATTCAGAAAAAAAACTCTGTGTTAGGTTTCCTAATTGAGATTTTCACTTCATCTCTTTTGTAATATACCCTAGGAATAATAACGCACTTTTTAAAAATAATTTTTAATATATCTACAGTGATATTCAAATAAATGTATGCACCGAAGTGCATAGTTTCGTTGACTGGATTTGTCATAAAAATTCCATTCTATAGCTAAGTACTAGTTTTGGATATCCTAACCATTTTTAAAATGCTATCTCAAAATCGATAAATTGAAAATTATTGATGCTTTTTAACTTGAAGTATTATTATTATTATTATTATTATGAGGGTACCTTTTTTAAAACTAGTTATAAAAACGAGCTCATTTGTTTGGTATATAATATACAAGATGAGTCAAAACTAGATTAATGTTTTACTTTGATATTTTAAATTTACCAACTTGAATTTGATAAATCAACATCCCTTTATCCAATTTTATGTTTTGAATACCTAACATATTTTTTAAATGCGCTTTAAGATGTACAAATATAAAATAAGCAGTTAAAATATCCAAAATATCAAATAGAAAGCCTAAAGCTATTTCAGTGATTCAGTCGTTTTTAGACATGCTGATCACAGAGATTTTCAATACTTACATAAAAAGATCGTTTTTTGGTACTTCTACGATTGGTGGTGGATATCTACATACTATAGTAATAATTTCATCTCCGTCCATTTCCAATCCTGGATGGAACCGTACCACTATATTATTGGTAAATACTCTTTGAGGATCCTACAATACCACATAAAAGAATATATGTATAAGAATTTTTAACATTACGTCTACCTGTTTTGTTCCGCATCCTTTCAGTGGTAGTTCCAGATTGTATTTTAGCCCACCTTTACCAGCTACTTGACAAGCTGAGTTTCTATCAAAATCAGCGTAGGCTATACCATAGAATGGCTCTTTGAAGTTCAGATCGATCTATAATATACATTCATTTTTTTACAGTGCCTGTAATAATATTAGGTACTTATTCTTGTCGTCAAACACTAATATGTATACGAAAAATTAATCATTCTCGGGAAAAATACCATTAAAGTATAGTTCCAATTAGCACAATGTAAAGATCTAAGATTGATAACTTATGGGTCTGCATAAGATATGCCATACTGCTGAAAATTGGAAACTAATCGAGAAACTAAAGCAGAATAAGATGATGGGTGAGAATACGGATAAATGTAACAGCTACAATGTATACCTGCATCGACAAATTTAAAATAACTAGACCTTGTAGGGAAAACTGGAGACTGGAAAAACGGTATACCCTTCAAGCTCATACAACCTGTTATAGAAATGTCTCCTGAACGATAAGGGTCGTACAAGACTGGAATAATCCACGGATTGAAACAAGGAAGTTTTTTTACCCTAACCCTATCCATGGATGTAACAATTCTCCACCCGAAAATTATATACGTAATCTATTATTGTGTGCAAGGAGGCAGAAATAAAACACTATTCAGTTGATATCTTGACAGATAGTCAAGCAGTGCTAAAAACACCATTCTACCATAGTGTCAATACTGGAATGGGAGATATAAATACATTGGGAGAACGTAGCAATGTTACGTTAGTCTGGGTACTGGACTATTATAAGGCAGATCAATGTTATTCATAGGTCCATAACTTTTTGAGGCACTGCTAAAGCAATAACAAAAATGAACATAACATAACTGGTTCACTTATATTTTATTCTCCAACGTGAGAATACTAAAAAAAATCTTGATTCTGACCTTTGTCTTGACATTTCTGATTCCGATTCAGCATTCAAGTCACTCAGAGTATGATATTATGATCTACTTCACTTAACTTCTTATGCTTAACTGAGAATTTTTATTATATGTTTTTAATAAATGGTTGGATAAATAATAATTATTATTAACTATTATTCATTGCACTAGTGTTCCAATGTTTTACCTGCATAGAGCCAGCTGCACAATTGAGATCTGCTTGGGTTTTGTTCAAGTTGATATCCGGACTGAGATCATCAAGATGCGTAAGTTTCCCTCCTAGGGTTGCGTCAGGTGGAAGACCTTCGCCAATGTACTCTATGTTGTTGGCTTGGTTGGCATAGTTTGATTGGGGCATGCCAAAAGCCAGAATGACATGGTATAGAATCAAAAAGAGTTTGTGAAGCATGGTTGAATCCATCTCTAAATAAAATTTATATATTAATGGAATAAGATTCAATTATTGATTGATGGGTATGGAGAAATGTTAATATTTTTTAATTAAATAATAATTATATTTATAGCTAAGCTAGCTTTACGCAAAGACTATCATTTCCGTACACTGAAAGTGTTTAGTATCAAATCAGTCTTTAGTCATTACCCAAAGGTTATTACTCAATAATAGTTAAATAATGAAATAAAAGCAAAAAGGTATAAAAAAATATTCATATACAGATAAGATAGTACGAAACTTGTATGCCATTTTAATTCACAGATAATTAGTATTTTTCTGTAATTTTTTGGATATCGTCTGTCGAAATATTTCCTGAAAAACAAGCGAAGATGGCCAGTTGGTAGTGAATAAGCTGATAGTTTGAATAATTAAAGAATATTATTGAGATACTTTAATTCTGTATTTTGCAGTTATTTACTTACTATAATTTTATCTCTGTTTGAATCTTTTTTGAGTTGATGTTAGTAAATTTTTGTTTCATTTACGTCATTTTCGCCTACATACCTACCATAGCATTTATTATTTAACATCTTTACTTTGTGGGTGTTATATGCAATTAATAAGTTATATTAAACTTTTGTTTTAATAGAAAGAAATATTCTTTTTTTGCCTAACTAACTAACACTGGCATGTGTAATTAAATTCTCAAAGGCTACCTGATATAGGGTGACCTGAAAAATTATGTATCAGGTTTTCTATTTGAGATTTTTTTCCGATACTTTTTTACTTGACACGCTTTTTAAAAATATTTTCATACATACACAGTGTCAATCAAAACTATTTTTACGTTAATGTTGCCTTGTAAGTAAGACACTGGAAGCTAATAATAGGTATTTAAACCTGTTAGAGTGTGTGTGCAAATTCTGTCAATTAGAAAAAGAAACGATAGAAATACATTCTGTCAGTGTGATAGCCTGGAAAATCGATGATAATTTATTAGCAGGGTTAGTGTACAAGTTATATTAGATTGTGAAAAGGATACTAGAGAAACTAGAAAAAGTAATATAATATATAGATCAGATGACCACAATAGATATGAAACGGTCGCATTGGAATACCAAGTGGGCAGTGTATCAATAACCTCATAAACTCTAAGAAAACCTAATTGTCCCCATAATTTGAAAAATAAACATAATGGAAATCTGAAATGTGGAACGCAAAATGGAGTATTTTTGAGGCTTTCGTTTCAAATTTGATAAAGTATACAGTTACATACATACAAGTATAACCAGACAGTAGTATCGACTGACTAGTGAGAAAGAAAATCTAGGAACTAGTAAGGTTGCATTCTAGTCCAAACCCTTCCGACTGCAACCCCACTAGTTCCTAGATTTTCTAAGTATATAAGTAAACCTTATAAAGTATATCTAACTGAGCTTAATTATGTTTTTTTAAAGTAGTACCTATACCGGGTGCGTCTCAAAAGTGACTCACCCCTATAACTTATTTTTTCAGATAAAAAAAAACGAGATTTGGCATGTTTATATGACATAAATTAGGATTGATTGACGTATTCAATTATTTTTGGTCACTTCCTGTTTCACCGGAAACGACTACAAACTTTGATTTTTAAATGATACCCTGGGTATTTTTATACAGTTGTACAAATATAGGAAGAGACTTGGGGATAGCACCGGTCGCGTGTTATTTTATATTTCTCACGTCTCTAGCTATACTTGTTAAGTTGTACTTTATTCGATAGAAAATGACACTCTGAATAGAATGACATGTCATATGTTAACTTTTGACATTTTTGCATATGGTTTATTTGAAATTGTGGTTTATAACGATGATAATGATAATTTAACTCGAAATACCAAGTGTGTGGTACCAAATTATTCGTAAAAATTGCTTTTTCCAAATATGCTAATAAGCCACCCTTGTTCCATTTGAAAAATTTGGGATACGATTAAAAATACGATTTGGGCATCTTTTAACCGGCCGGATAAGACACGAAAAACATTAAACGGTCATATCTATTTTTCCAAGACTCCTTGATTAAAAATTAGTGTTTTTAACGGCATTCTGGATTGAAATTTAAAATACGATTTATTTTTAAACAAAAATTTCAAAAGTTGACATATGATATGTAAATATATATCTTGTTTTTTTCTATTCAGATTATCATTTTGTATCGAATAAAGTAAAAATATACCGAGGGTGCCATTTAAAAATCAAGAGTTGTAGCACAGGTTGTAGTCATTTCCGGTGAAACAGAAAGTGACCAAAAACAATTGAATTCGTCAATCAATCCTAATTTAAGTCATATACTAACATACCAAATTTCGTTTTGTTATCTGAAAAAATAAAAAGTTATAGAGGTGAGCCACTTTTGAGACGCACCCGGTATATGTAGTTTAAATTTTTATTAAATCTATATTCTGATCTAAATCAGCTATATCTTAATTGAACATTAAGTTGATTAGTGATCGTAGCGATTCGTAAGTAGTAAGTAGAAAATGAAGAATAATACACATTGCGAAATTCTGTTCTAAAGATTTTAACTACAATACATATTACAAAATCATCCCAGTTTCTTTTTATTAACGCAGATGCTTGATAAATATTAAAATTTATTAATAATTATTAATTCACATATTTGCAAATATATTATTAGTATAATATTTATGTTAAACCTTCATTAACTCGATTGTTTATATTGGTATAATTGTGAATAGAAGAAAAACTATTTAATATGAATTTCCATATTGCGTCCATTGTCAACCTTGATATTGGAAAATGAATAATGAATATTACCATCTGTTATATGTTACACATACATCTAAAATTTGCATAAATAGTTCCCTGCGGCTATGACAAGAATAATGAAAACATATTTATTTGCTGAATAATATACTCACTCAAAAACACTTAAATAATTTGCAAATAGAAAAAATATAATCCATTCATATTCATAGCTGTAGTTTTAGTGTAATATACACAGATGGTAAAAAATTACGCATATTTTTGTTTAAAAATACAGAGTATCTCATTGTTACAAAATAGTCTAAGATCCGGCTGCAGGATTATTACGCTCATGGTATTTTTAATCAAGACCTAATTTTTACGTATATTTATGAATAGGGAAATGCACTTTTAACAGGGTGCCAAACAAAAAGTTGACACAAATATGTTTAATTAATAATAATATTGATTGATTTTGGAGAAGACGTTATAGTCTAAGAGCTAGCAACGTTTTTGAGAAAGTATTTTAAGACGTCTGGCTCTTCGATATGTTTTTTACTATGCTCTCTGGAACAGAATGCGGCCCGTCTGGCTGCCGATACCCGCTGCGTTCACTACTGCGCATCGGAAGAAGATCCTATATTTTTTTATTAATTTAGTCCTATAAATTCTAGTATTAAATATAAATCGAACATGACTCCATAGCGCAGTGCGTAGAGTTTCCGACCACGAACCGATGATTCAGAGTTCGAATCCGGGTCAGGTCAAATACTTTTTTATTTTATTTTCGTTTATATTTTGATAGTAAAGTATTAAATATAATTCTGGTAATTAAAAAAACAAATATTTAATACTTATCAGAATATAAACGAAAATAAAATAAAAAAGTCTTTGCCCTGACCCGGATTCGAACTCTGAATCATCGGTTCGTCGTCGGAAACTCTACGCACTGCGCTATGGAGACATGTTCGATATATATTCAATACTAGAATTTAAAGGACTAATAAAAATATAGAATCTTCTTTCAATGCGCAGTAGGGAACGCAACGTTTATCGGCAGCCAGACGGGCCGCATGCTGTTCTAGAGAGTATAGTAAAAGATATATCAAAGAGCCAGACGTCTTAAAATACTTGTTTTTCCAACGTTGCTAGTTCTCGTACTATTACGTTCATAAAATGTTTTGATCATTTATATGTCAAATTAAAGCTATTTGTATTCTGTGCATGATGTTATAAGGGTGCCTATAAAAAAGTTGCCGTAAATAGGGGTTGCCATGCACTGTTCAAAGTCGTTCCTAATACTTTATACGGACCCGGCAACGTTGTGTCCGGGGTCTGTAGCTCCTCCATATAATAAAAAACTTAGGAATTTTGTATAAGTGCCAACCTAAAGTACATACGTGTTAGGATGTATTTTAGGAAAATATTTTAACTTCTACAGGGCGGCTAAAAAAATGCCAGTAGATAGGGATGATTGTTTTTTAAATGGAACACCCTGTATATTATTCCTTTGTTAGATGGAAAATTAAAAAAAATAATATTTTTTGTATTTAAAATATTTCAATTTCAAATCAAATTTAATTATAGCTTAGTTTTTTAGTTTTTCTGATATATTTTGTAAGTAAACCAAAATCTGAATCAATATATACGATGTTAATAAAATATATTATTTTTTTATTGCAGAGTACGAGAACAATAAAAAAATAGATACCGTCCTTGATTTTAGGAAGAAAAATGTGTAGGATGTAACGATCAATGGCGGATATATCGTATTGCAAAATTTTAACGCTCCATCCAAAAACAACCTTTACTTTCACACTAAATGACGTAACCATAGATTTTCTCTTAGTATTTTTAATCGAAGATTATTTAAATTATATAATTTGTTTATTTTTGGTAAAGGTAGTCTCATTTAGACAGTCTTATTCGAAAAATTCCTTTTGCAAAGTCGGTGGCCAGTTAGCTAGGAAATGACGATCGATGACATTTCCTATATAATTTTTTATATAAAATTACAGTTATCTTCATCTCCAAGTTATCTCTGACGCCATTTTTTTCATATGGCATAACATTAAAATTTACTTCTGATATGACCACCTAAAATTCGCCAGGCATTAGAACTTGAGAGTCTATATTGGTCATTGGTAAAGTAAATTTTGAGTCTTCTTTACAGGCTGTAGTGATACTTTTATGAATAATATTTTTTAGTACTGGTAATTCCGTTAAATGAAAAAGCGGTGTTAGTTAGTGACAAATTAGTTATTTTAGTAATTCATTGAAAAAGCAACAAAAGATAATCTCTTTTGACTCATATATCAGTGGGCGAACTAAGGTTTAAAAATTCCGCCATATTGAATTTATAATAAAAACGATCTGAGAAGAACATGTAAATCTCTGAAAAAATAATTTTAAGATCTAATAATAATAACGTAAATCTGTAAAAGCTAAAGTATTTTTTTGCTTATACTTCCTTCTGTTAAGCCCGATGTAGTATTCATATTTTTTTATTAATTTTTTATGATCTACATTTTAAATATTAAGATTTATTTTTTTCTGTACGTTAGATAATTAAAAATAATAAGGAAGTTAAGAGGGAGGCAAGCAATGTCATTTTAAATCTCTTTTTCTCAGTTTTATTTGACTTTTTCTTTTTAAATTTTGAATTTACACCAATTTTAATTACGCGAAACGTGCTTCTATTTATTTTATTAACTCTAATTAACTTGTTTATTTCTGTAATTAGTTTTATCTGCAGATACATTGTATCACACATAGAACTTGAATTTTAGCTAGTTATTGTTATTATTATCCTTCACAAATTAAAAACATGAAAAATAAGGGAACAGCTTTGCCCTTCCCAGAAAAGTATACAATAATTTATAAAAAAAATGAGTATTACCTCGATATTTAGTTTGCAGTTGGTTATATATATATATATATATATATATATATATATATATATATATATATATATATATATATATATATATATATATATATATATATATATATATATATATATATATTATATATATATATATATATATATATATATATATATATATTTTAATAAATTTATTATTACTAGACATTGTAAATAATATGGCCAGACTTTTCATATACCTTTATTAAGTGTTCATATACTTTAATACTTTAAAACCAAAATACTATGTACTTCTCATGTACACAGCGCTTTTCACTATTAAGTAATTAAATAACAGAAACTCTTTTTTTATTTTTTTCACGAATTTCTAAAGTATCTCTGATTTGTCAATAATAAAGTAATAACACAGCAGTTAATATTGAAATTTATTTATTTATTTATTTATTTATTAATACCAGTTAATTTACAATGTAGAAATACATGATAAACCGCAGAGAGACAGAGCTCTGTACGCGGACCGGTTTAACTTAAAAAATTAACAACTAAAAACTAAAAAACTAAAAAACTAAGAAGTATGAAACAAAAATAAATATAAATACAAACAAAAATAAAGATCAATTACTTATAACTTAAGCTACAGGCGATCAGTATTCCGCTTTAGCCAAAACCTGATAGTTCTCTTCAAATTTTTCTTTTCCACTGTTAAATTTTTCAATTCAGTTGGTAAGAGATTGAAAATTTTTATCGCTTTTAATGTAACTGTCTTTATCACTTATTCTTTTGCTATTTTTTGGTATAATTATGTTTTTGTTTCTTGTAATACTTTTGGAGTTTATATATTTGTTTTTTAAGATCTCATAGTGAAAAGTTATTGCTTCTAAGTTATAAATTTGTTCAATACTTAATGGATTTTTGTCTATTACAAAAGAGTTGTTGTTGATTACTTTCAGTATTCTTCTCTGTAATGTATTTAATAGCGTAAAACAGTTATCATAAGCACCACCCCATGCTATAATACCATAACTAATAACACTTTGAAAGAAGGCATAATAAATTGTTCTAAGCATTTCAACATCCATGTATTTTCTTAGTTTATAGAAAACAAAAATTAAATATTTAGTCTTGCTAATCAGATATTCAATTTGTTTATCCCATTTTACATTAGAGAAAAATAATACCCAAATATTTACAACAATCAACTCTTTTTACATATATGTCTTTAATTTTTATTTCAACTAATTTAGGAACACTATCTGAGTAATTTCCAAAAGTCATGAAAACAGTCTTATCAATATTTAAAGACAGTTTATTAAGTGCAAGCCAATTTGCAACCTTATCTAGTAGTTCATTCATTTTTTTAATACTTTGCTTTGCTAAATTAATCTAAACATTTCTCTAAATACTGAATTGTAAGTTATAGCTTAACATACGATTTTTTATTGAGCAAGAATCTCAAAAGTTGACATATGATATGTCATTCTATTCATGATGTCATTTTCTATCGAACAAAGTAAAAAAATACCGAGAGTGCCATTTAAAAATCAAAAGTTGTAGTCATTTCCGGTGAAACAGGAAGTGACCAAAAACAATTGAATACGTCAATCAATCCTAATTTATGTCATATATTAACATACCAAATCTCGTTTCTTTATCTAAAAATATAAAAAAGTTATAGGGGTGAGCCACTTTTGAGTCGCACCCGGTATTTAGTTCAATGCTACGGAAAAGGTGATGGTACCTAGTTATCGGAAAATATGATACTTTAACAACAGCATAGAATATTACGTTAATCAAAATTATTAATAACTATCTATCAAAGAATGATATCGAATTGATATTACCATAGAAACGCCTTTTGCTTTATAAGGCCTTTAGGACTTGAGAAAAAATTCATCCGTATTTTCATGTTTTTCTTAATTTTCTCAATTTTCTCTAAAACGGTATGGAAATTTGGAAAATTATAAACCGTATTATCCAAAACGCATTTTTTTCAAAATGTCAAGAATAAAAAAGTTTTTTCTCTTGTAAAGACAATCCGGGGACATACTGTATACCTGTGGAAATCGTAATACGACCCTAAGACCCAATTCAAATTTAAAGTTGAAATAAAATCATAGAAATAAAAAATAAGAAAAGAGAGCATATTTTTTTTGTTTTCAAGGTAGCAGTTGATTAGTAAGAAATATTTCTAAAAATATTTACATACAAAAAAGTGTTAGAAAATTAATTAAATACGAGTATATGATGTAAGTAATAGCGTATTAAAATAGATTCGTTAGTGTAAAAAAAATGAAATAAATGCTTACTTTTAACAAACCGGTAGACACAACAAAAATACACAAGCTATCACTTTTAAACCATCCCCGATTAAGGCACCCTTTACATTACCACCCCCGGAAACAACGAAGAACCCAAAATCGCACGCGCCAGCACCAATCCCGAGAAACCCGACTGCAAAATATCAAAAAATATTTTTCTTGATCGCGGTTCTTTGGCGAATCGCCTTGAGATGGCCATAAGCGTAAAAAGAAAACCTACGCGCTACGAAAAAAAGGAGAAATATCATTTAGCCTACGCTATAATCGGGACCGTTGGCTGTTGCTTCTAATATCACAAACGACGCCTATATTTGTCAAAAGTCAAGTTGTTGGTTTGGGACCGCTTTTTTTTTCGTCTGAGTTTGGATCTTGTGTCATTTAAAAAAAAGAATAGGCAACATTAACCACAAGGAGCATATAAAATAATATAAGATGGTGTCAGCGATTAGACTAGGCGAAGCTCGCTGTTATTTTGCGTCTAAAAGTACTGTATGATCGAAAAAAAACGGCGTCCAGTTGGCTGGGAAATGACAGCTATTTTCATTTCATAGCCACCACTGACGCCGTTTTTTTTGGAAAACACGGTACATTATATAGTACCTCGCTTAGTGTCCCCGATATGTATTTATGTAATGTAAAACTGGTTCGAATGAGACAAAAGCCTAACGTTTAGAAAATACGATTTGGCAATGATAAAATCCTAGGTTGACAACAACGTAGGTACGTTGGCATTTCCCATTCTTAACGTACATTGGCATTCGATGACATTTCCCATAAAACTTTACATATAAAATGACAGCGATCTTCATTTAATAGCCATCGCTGATGACGTTTTTTTCCATATTGTATATATATAGGGAATGTCATTGATCGTCATTTCAAAGCCAACTGAACGCCGTTTTTAATAAATATACTACAGACTGTTGTTTGTTAAAATGTAACAAAAATTATATATTTTAAAATGTAAACACTATTTTAATTCATAATTGTTTCACTCTTTTTAATGTATTTAATTAATGAGTAGCAAATGACGTCATGTTGGCTCGGAAATGACGATCGGTATCTCTATATATTTTTACATAATAAAAAGACAGCGATCTTCATTTCCCAGCCAACTCTGAATGGTCAGGATATACATAAATAAAACAACGTTTCTTAATGCTCACATGCTCTATTTTGACAAAATCTTTAAAGTTGTTTGTGTTTAAATGGTGCTGATACTAATGTCTAAAGACCCATACACACTATGCGTTCATGTGGTTCGTCGATGCGGTTCGTTAGTTTGTTTCACTATACATTGTGCCGCGGTTCAGCGAGTAGTCGATTTTTAGACAAACCATCAAAGGAAATATCACAAACACAGTGGACGATTTTCCAAACAAACTAACGAATCACATCGACAAACTGCATCAAACTCACTATGCGTGTATCTACCCAGCGACGCATCAAGTCGACGCATCAACGCAGAGTGAGTATGAGATGACGAATCGGTGCATCGCATTACGAATCGCATTATACTCACTATGCGTGCATCTTCGCATCAACGAACGCATAGTTAGTATGGGACTAAATAGTAAAGTGCAGTTTGATTAGTATAACTGGTGAAGCAAACAGTTTCGTAGTGTTCTGTTTTAATTATTCAGCGCTTCATAATGGTAATGTAGGAATATGTTGCTTTCATAACCTAAATAAAAAAAAAACATATAATTATGTATTACATTTTGTAAATAATATACTAAGGGTCGGCATTTCTGGTTTTGGGTGCCGCTTTTCATGTGTACGAAGAGTACGTCCAACACGCTTAGTAAAATAAGATGTACTGAATAAAGACAGAAGGCGAGTATTTTCCCAAGCGCATGAAATCTAGCGTCAGATTAAGTAGTTATGTAATAAATACTTCGTATTTTTACTTACTCCGACTTACTGAATCGCCATAACGATTCACTCCTACCCATGTAAAGTGTACACCCAAAGCACAGTGCTTCGTCCCATGGACAAAAATCGAAAAAAAAGTTAAAATTTACTAATATCTAAATATGTAATTTTATACTTATAGCAATGTTCAACCATCCTGTATATTATTTTTCATAAACAGCGTTTTTTGTTAGCAAATATTTTCACTAAAAATAAATTTTGCGATCATTATCTTATATTAGTAAAAAGAATAACATTCATAGTAGTTCTGTATATGGAGTTAAACGGTATGTACTTAATTGAAAGCCACTATGGATATTGTTAAACAAGGTATGTACTTTAAATTTATTTCTAAACAAGTTCGTTATTGTTTAGTTTTTATTTATTTTTTAAGATGATTCTTAAATGGGTATAAAAATTTTACGTTTTCAAACTTCAAAAAGTCATTAAAAAAAACATATCAAAACATATCGTATTTATTGAATATTTTTGTTGCCATATTCATACACTTTTAATTTTTGTATAGTTCACCTGCGTCCGCTTGCGACGGACTTTATTTTTTAATACTTTTCAGATGGAGTAAAATTGATAAGCAATGCCGATCTGGTTAATACTTGGCTTAATCATAAGGACAAGAACTCAAAATTATTTATATTTCAAAAAATGTGTTCTTTATTAGATATTGATGAACCTTCCAGTCCAATTTTATAACCACTTGTGCCTGAGCTCACTATGTTGGAGCGAAATGTGGCATAAAAAATGTTTCCATCTTTCAATTTATTATAAAACCTCATACCAAAGAAAACGAAAAAATAATATATGGATATGGTCTATTAAAGAGGTAACTATTAACATCCGAACCCCTCATACCAACAAAAAGAACAGTAACAACGCGAAAAAGTAACATATTAGAAAATGATGTACAGAAATATCGTATATGTGAGGATATTTCATCTACCTGTGATTTGGATACTATAAATTTGGAAGGTTCTGTCAGCAATGATTCTTCTGAATCAGAGTAGTTACGATCTATGCATTTTGTTGTCCTAAAGTAAATTTATAGTATCTTAAGTTTTTTTTTAATTAAATATATCATTAATGTTTCTTTTTCATTAAAGAAAAACATTTTTATCTTATATTAGGTTTATATTGTAGAAATCATGTACTAATGTTATTCCAATTCTTTTTTATCATAGCGATTTATTTAATACTTACACCGTTTTCATACTATAAATGAATATTTCCTTAGATGGAACACAGCTCCAACATTTTTATTATTTATAAGATTTTTTTTTCATAAACGTGGGACTAAGAATATCATCATTTAGTACAATGAGAGTACTCATCATTTGTGTCAAATAAACCTAGTTTGAATAAATTGCCTACAATAAAAGAGAAGTTTTGCATTTTTGTCCTCTAGAGCCATATGTTCGAAGCACTGTGCAAAGGCTCGCTTGCCAGCGAGGTATAACAATATTTAAGTAGGTTTATTTTGAGGAGTTTAAAATTTAAGAATTAAATTCTTTCTTTTTTTAATTTTTAGATTCCTAAATATCACAATAAACAGATTTTCTAGGCCAATAAAATTAAAAGGGTTCCTTGAAAAAAAATGGAAAGCTAATTAATTATAATAATAATAATGGTTTTTGTGGGATGCAAAGTCTTGTACTATACCGGCTATTGTGGGCTCCTGAGGAACAATATCCTGGGGAATAATAGGAGTAGAACTAACAAGAAAATCATTTATCCAAGAATCTCAAAAGATCACGTTGTTCAGGATGGCTCCCGTCCTTCGCAAAGTGTTTGATCTAAGTTGCTTTGATCTTTGAACCCAGGGCGGGAACTGGACTTGGTCAATAATTACCGGAGAACCTTCAACCGCTATCCCCGTGGAATATGTAAAAGTAACAATGGCTTAATTTAATAATTAAATGGGCGAAGTCTGGCTAAAAAATCCTGGCTAATTATTGCTCTGATTTGTTCATTTGACGTGAAAGTTTGCTAGATTATTAAATACTGCGTCGAATGAGTACCCTATCCATTCAATTCGGTTCAGTACCTAGTATAGCTAAAATCGAAAATTGAAGAATGGTGATATTTAACAACTTTGCTGAAAAATACATTAATTTTACAAGCAAAATGTTAAAAAGCATTATTCTATAGTTAGAAAAAAATACAACTAAAGTTACAGAGCATCAAATTGTGGGTTTAACGTGTATGCTAAATTTTAAATTTGATCAAGTACATACCGAGAAAATGAAAATATTCCGAAACTTGCCATATACACTTCAGTTAATGGTGATTCTCTTAAGCCCCTCATTCATGGTGGTACTACTTTAGTAAGGTACCTATGGTATATTACCACCACAGCTACAGTCTGGGCTCTTGGCATCTTAGTCAATTTGGTAATTCTCGACATTGGACATACTGAAGTACTAGGAGTTGCAGATAAGCTCCCTCCTATAATTTGAAAGATATTCAAAGAAAAGATAAGACATTAATAGTGTCATAAACGAATTGGACAAACGAGTCTTCCGGTTAGTTGTGAGAAGGCTGTTTGATACATGATGCTGCAAGCAGCGTTACAACATAGTAAGAAGAACAATATCGAAGGCTCGACAATAACATCCTGGAAATTTCTTGGTCCGTATTTTTATATAACAATGCACTTCTAAAAAAGTCTAATGCAACAGTTTAATTTAAATAGGGAAAACAAATGAGGGTGGTCTTGCACCCTTAAATACAGAGTGAAAAATGACTGTGATTTTAGACTTATGTATTTCATTCTATACGTTTCATTTCTAGACGTTATTATTGTGTGCATGAAAAGCTTCAGAGATTTCGGAATGTCTTCATCCACATCCTTCAAAAAATGAGCCAGCTTGGGGTAAGAATGCAGAGTGTATAATATGCATGTATGTCCTCTCGTATAATAGTGGCAGCAGCTTCAACTCCGTTCTCGTTTAGAATCGTATGTTATTCTAGATTCTTGATACTACTTTTCATACACAATTTTATAATTATTATATTTTAACGTTTATTTTTATAAATTGAATTTTATTTTTTTCTTGGTCGCTATTTATATAATAAGTATAAGTAGGTTATACCTTCAAAATCCAAAATAGTTAGAATTTTAGAATTTAGAATGAGTGGGAGGGGGATTAATCACTGCGACCTTACAGATCTATTATGTCCCCCTTTCTTGAGTTATAACTCATCATACAGTCCCAGGGCTTTGACAAAAGCCAGTATGTGGGACGGTTTTATAGAGG